TTATTTTGATCTGATGGAATATTTATACATCTTTAGTATTAACAGATGTGGGATATAATCCTTCTGTAGAGAGATGTGGTCATGAAAGTTATGCAGAGATGTACAAGTAGCTTTTTCTTTTATGAAAGTTACACAGAGAGAAAAAGATAGGCAGAGAGAGAGAGAGAGAGAGAGAGAGAGAGAGGTCTTCCATCCGCTGGTTCACTTCCCAGTGGGCCGCAATGGCCAGAGCTGCGTTGATCTGAAGCCAGGAGCCAGGAGCTTCCTCCAGGTCTCCCATGTGGGCGCAGGGGCCCAAGGACTTGGGCTTTCTTCTTCTGCTTTCCCAAGCCATAACAGAGAGCTGGATTGGAAGTGGAGCAGCCAGGACCAGAACGGCGCCCATATGGCACCACTGCAGGTGGTGGCTTTACCCGCTATGCCACAGCACTGGTCCCTGAAGCAGCTAGTTTTTAAAGAATTATTGTTACACGTAAGTTGGCATTAGTTTATCTCATCAGCTGCTTTCGGATCAGTTGTGTATTGGGTGGAAAATAGGTGTGTGGCATGGCATATGGGAAGCTATTTTAGAATTTTCTCATCCCTATTATCAGAAATTAAAAAGAGAAATAAGTGTCTCAAACCAGTCCCTGCCAGTATTTCTGTGATGAGTTTTGATAGGAGGGAGGTTTTTGCTGAACATTTTAATTAGAATCCATCCTGTATCAAGCTGAACTTTAAGACTGAACGTTCACGGGGCAGGAGCTGTGGCTCACTTGGCTAATCTTCTGCCTTTCGGCACCAGCATCCCATATGGGCGCTGGGTTCTAGTCCCGGCTGCCCCTCTTCCAGTCCAGCTCTGTCCTGTGGCCTGAGAGGGAAGTGGAGGATGGCCCAAGCACTGCTTAGGCCCCTGCACCCGCATGGGAGACCAGGAAGAATCACCTGGCTCCTGGCTTCGGATCGGCGCAGCGCCGGCTGCAGTGGCCATTTGAGGAGTGAACCAGTTGAAGGAACACCTTTCTCTCTGTCTCTTTCTCTCACTGCCTAACTCTACCTGTCAAGTAAGTAAAAAAAAAAAAAAAAAAAAAAGACAACATACAGATAACAGAACTGTGTGTCCTAGTCCAGGTGCTGCAGAAAACTTGATTTCCATAGCCATTGTGATTGAACTTAACTTTTTCCCATGTGCACTCTACTGCTCACTTAAGCCCTAAGAGATATTCTTACTACTATATAGCCAGTACTTTTCAAGTTATCTTATTAAATGTCTTAAGTTTGTTGAATAGCCCTTTCTTCATTTTCTTAATGCTCTGATAACCTTTCATGTTTAAATAAAGCTATGGGAATTGCTTAACAAAAGTAAGGCTATTCATTTACAGAGGGTTTGTATTCTTAATGCACTAATTATAAATGAAAATATATTGTATAAAGAACAGAGAGCCTATTCTATTTTTTTTTTAAAAAAATTTTCTTGAGAGGCATAGCTACAGACAGAGAAAGAAACAGAGAGAGAGGTCTTCCATCCGCTGGTTTACTCCCCAAATGGCCACAATGGCCGGAGCTAGGCCGATCTGAAGCCAGGAGCCAGGAGCTTTTTCCTGGTCTCCCATGTGGGTGCAGGGGGCCAAGCACTTGGGCCATTTTCTACTGCTTTCCTAGGCTATCAGCATGGAGCTGGATTGGAAGTGGAGCAGCTGGGACTTGAACTAGTACTCACATGGGATGCCGACACCTCAGGCAGATTCTTAACCTACTATGCCATGGCACCAGCCCCAAGCATATACCTCTTGAGAATATGATTGAAGTCATGAATACTAAAAATTGGCTATGGTGTTTCCAACAACTTTTCTTTGGGCATTCTTCTGGTAACAATAAAATTATAACTTTATAAATATATTGCTATTTGGAGAATGCTAACCTAAAGGGGAAAGCATCTTCAACTATAAATAAATAGTTTTGGAAATAATATACAAACAGCAATAATTCATTTGCTCCTTGTTTCTCCATGTTTGTTCATAGCTGTATTACATGTATTCATAGCTTTGTGGAACAGTATTCCCCGTACTGATGTTTAATAAATAAAGTGTTTACTGACCACATGTAGTTGGGAAACACTGTTAGTTTTTTTTTTTAATTGCCCCATCTCTTACTGTTTTCCGTTTACTATTGTGCATTATGATGCTCAAAATAGGGATATTTGCAGGATTCAGTACTTCCCAAGCTTAATCTGTTCCTACCCATTAATATGTTACAGAATTCAGAGAAGTAAATAATCGTAGTCTTCACTGGCAAAGCTATTGATTTTTTTTTTTTACTTTTGTGTCACTATTAACATACTTCTCATATACTGGGCATCAAACTGTATATAGGTTTTTGAAATTATCTTGCTTTTTTTTTGTTTGAGGCACAAAGAAAGAGTTCCCATTTACTGACGTAGTCCTCAAGCAGCTGTCTAATCCAGGTTTCCCAAGTGAGTGGCAAGGATCCAACTACTTGAATCATCACCTGCTTCCTCCAAGGGTATTCATTAGCAGGAAGCTGAAATCAGGAGTGGAGCTAGGATTTGAGTCCAGGCATACTAACATAGAATGCAAGTGCCCCAACTGGTATCTTAACTGCTGTGTCAAATGCCCTGCCCCATCTTGGTTTAATAAAACTGTTAAATATAGGAGAGATTATTACAACGTAGCGGTTAAGGTTCTACTTGGGACGTCTGCATCATATGTTGGAGTACCTGGTTCAAATCCTCGATACTCCATTTCTGACCCAACTTCCTGCTAATGTGCACCCTGTAGACAGCAGATAAAGGCTCAAGTACTTGGGTTCCTGCAACCCATGTGAGAGACCCAGATACAGAATTCCAGGCCACTGGCTTTGCCTAACCCAGCCCTGGCTGCTACAGGCATCTGAAGAGTGAACCAGTAGATGAAAGAGCTCTCTCTGTGTCTCTTTCTAATAAAAATGAAAATAAATAAATTTATATTAAATATTACAGTTTCCAAAATTCTGGATTCTAAAGGATTTTTTTAAAGATTTATTTTATTCATTTGAAAGAGCTACAGAGAGAGAAAGGGAGAGAGAGATACTCCATTTGCTCTTTTACTCCCCAAATGGCCACAACGGCTAGGGCTGGGTTAGGCCAAAGCCAGGAGCCAGGAGCTTCATCTTGGTCTCCTACAAGGGGGCAGGGGCCCAAGGACTTGGGCCATCCTCTGCTACTTTCCTAGCCTCATTAGCAAGGAGCTGGATCAGAAGTGGAGCAGTTAGGACTCCAACTGGTGCCCATTTGGGATGGCTGGCATTGAAGGTGTTTAGGCTAGGAGTGCATATTATTTGTAGATAAATTTGAAAATACACAGGATTCCTAGATTTTTTTTTAGTAATACATTTGTGGATATTTTACTATTTAAATCTGTTCAGAATATCCATGTTTTTACGGACTGGTACACTGGTATTGAAGGAGAAAGTGAAACTGAGCAAATGTAAAAGTGAAACATAGAACAGTAGATAGATATGGTGCACCAGCTCTAGGATATTTTTAAACATTTCATCCTTTTTTCTCCTGTCTTGGAAGTATTAGAATGGTTTAGTTCAGGTTGAGTTTAGTAAAATACTTATCACTTCTGTGATAGTCTAATTTTTGTGTATGTTTTGTCTATAAGTTTAATTAAAGTGCATTTTTCCTTAAATTTTGAGTTTTAATGTAGTAGGCATAATTTTGGTAAAAGTAACAAGCAATATTGTACTTATTTATATCATAAGATGCAAATTTCCAGTGCTAAGTAAATCGTTTCATTCGCCTTACTTGTACATAATAGGTTTTTGTAAAACACTCTAACAACTCTGATAAAGAGAGTATAAAGAATACAAATAGAAGAGAGTAAAATAGTTCAAATGGTTACATGTTCTGAGTAGTTGTAGGCTTCTTGCTGAAGTGAAAAAGAAATCAAAAGACACAAAGAGGCAGTCAAGAGAACTATTGAATCCAATCTAGTACATGGATGTAGTTAGAAACAAACACTTTCAAAAAATGTAATATAGTTTTATAAAATGAAAAATGCAATACAATCCATAGACAGTAGAATTGAAAAGATTCCTCTTGGTTAGAGAAACAATGATTTGTAATGTGTTTGAGGACTAAGCAGTAGTTGGGCCCTTGAAAGGAACTTAACATACTTATTTGGGGATTTGATGAGAAGTTTGGAAGGGTAGATTTATCAGAATGTAGCACAGTTTTTAAAAAACTAAAGGTGAGAAACACTGGTCCAAGCAATTGTTAACTTCCACCGCGAAACTACAGTTGCATCTGCTTTTGACCAACTGTGGTTAAAACCAAAAGGCATAATGGGTCTGGCAAGACATATTTTAGGGTATATTTTAGTTCCTGTATTAAAAGTAATTCACCTTTAGATACAATTTATTTAGTTTTTGTTTTTCCACATGAGGGGCCTTTTAAAATGTATTGATAGTACAGATATTTTAACTGTAACATAATGGAATTCTTTTTTTTTTTTTTAATTTTTTGACAGGCAGAGTGGACAGTGAAAGAGAGACAGAGAGAAAGGTCTTCCTTTGCCGTTGGCAGTGGACAGTGAGAGAGAGACAGAGAGAAAGGTCTTCCTTTGCCGTTGGTTCACCCTCCAATGGCCGCCGCGGCCGGCACGCTGCAGCCGGCGCACTGCGCTTATCCGATGGCAGGAGCCAGGTGCTTTTCCTGGTCTCCCAAGGGGTGCAGGGCCCAAGGACTTGGGCCATCCTCCACTGCACTCCCTGGCCACAGCAGAGCTGGCCTGGAAGAGGGGCAACCGGTACAGAATCCGGCGCCCTGACCGGGACTAGAACCTGGTGTGCCATCGCCGCAAGGCGGAGGATTAGCCTAGTGAGCCACGGTGCTGGCACATAATGAAATTCTTAAGTCATCCAGGAAAAGAATGGTTGACATTAAGTCAACATGCCCCTCTTTACCCTATCTTTTGGTTATCTTAAACAGCTGCTCTATTTCTGTTTGTGTTTTACAGTTTTCAAGAAAGTGTCCTTGAATTCAAACTCTGTCTTCCAGAGGGCAGTTTCACTTCTTCATACTTCTTACTTGGACTCTGCATCTGAGCCTGGTTTTCAGTACAGTCAAGTGACTTTGGTGAAAAATGACATTTTCTTAAATGAGGTGAGGTGCTTGGTACATGTTCTAGATTTAAATTAAGTATACCCATAATTTTTGATATATAAGCCTAGTACTTTTTAGCTAACATTTTTTCAGAGGAGACAGCAGATTATTAGGAATATCTACTTAGAAAGTAATATATTCTAGGGAATAGAAAAACAATATTATTAGTCTTTTATTCATTTAAAAGAGAGAGAGAGGGAGAGAGAGAGATTTCCAGGAGGAATTCAGATGATACATTTAAATGTTTAATTGGCAGGAGAAAATAGTATATTTATAGCATTTGGTTATTTTCTTTATACAGTACAGAAACTTTTACCAACAAAAAAAGGCCAGTAATTATACTCCAGAAGAACTTCAAGAAACTTACGGGTTTCTTCTGTTTGAAACGGAAAACCAGGTAAGGGAATTAGGTTATAGAAAATTTGTTCTGTGGTATTAATGTACAAAATTCATTGTATCATTAACCTTAAATACTGGTGTTCCAGTTCTATAAATCTATAAGAGTACCAATTCATCATTACTTTTTGTTACTTAGTTTCATAGCAGTGTAAATGAAAATGAAAGCCAGTCATAACAGAGATTTAATTTTTGTGACTTTTCATGATTACTCTTATTTTAATGTTTCTAAACTTCCAGTAAGATTTGGATTCAAATAGATTTCTTTAATGACAGTATTGTCCTTTAATAAAGTGAATTGACAATTATCTATTCTGATTCATCATTGCATAGATTTTTTTGGTTTCCTATAAAGGAGTTTCAAGTTTAAATTACATGTTTTTGGGACTGAGGTAAATATTTTCAACATTCTAGTTAAATGGAATTGTTTCATGCTTTCTTTGAAGATTGAACATGTATATTATTGCCAGAATCTAAATTGTGGGAGAAGGAAATTATGGTATATAGGGTATGCATCCAAAGATGTGTATGGTTACTTAGATAACAATTTAAATAATACCAGAGATTATCATCAAAGCTGAAAATAATTCTGAGATACAAACTTAGGCTGGGTTAATAGTTTATAGAGAGGGGCCAGTGCTATGGCATATTGGGTAAAGCCACTGCCTGCAGTGCTGGCATCCTGTAAGTGCGCTGGTTCGAGTCCTGGCTGCTTCACCTCTGATCCAGCTCTCTGCTATGGCCTGGGGAAACAGTAGGAGATAGCCCAAGTCCTTGGGCCCCTGCACCTGCATGGGAGACCCGGAAGAAGCTCCTGGCTTCTGTCTTCGGATTGGTGCAGCTCTGGCTGTTGTGGCCAATTGGGGAGTGAACCAGCGGATGGAAGACCCTCTCTCTCTCTCTGCCTCTCTCTGCCTCTCCATCTCTCTGTGTGTAATTCTGACTTTCAAATAAATAAATCTTTAAAAAAATAGTTTATAGAGAAGCACAAGGCTAGCGTTGTGGCTCAGCAGGTTGGGACACCACCTGTGGTGCTGGCATTCCATATGATCTATGGTTTGGCTGTTCCTTGCTGGTATGCCTATGAAAGCAGTGGAAAAGAGGTCCCAAGTGCTTAGGCCCCTGCCACACAAGTGGGAGACTCAGTTGGAGTTCCAGGCTCCTGGCTTCAGCCTGGCCCTGCCCCAGCCATTTTTGGCTATTTGTGGAGTGGGCCAGTTGGATGGAGGAGCTTTGTTTCTGTCTCTCTCTCTGTGACTCTGCTTTTCAATTAATAATTTCAAAGAAAAAATGTAGTTAGCTTAAAGAATAATTAATGATGCAAGGATTATATAGTAATGCTAGAAGAATTTAGTCCTTTTAAATTTAGTCATCAAATCCAAATAAAATGTGCTCTGGGTTCACACTAAAAATGACGTTTGGAGATAAGACGTTTTCAGATTTAGTGTTCTAAAGCTATAACTGGAGAAGAAATCTTCAAGAGAGGATTTACTTGTGACTTTGTTTAATTTGGTTTTACTAGTGACAATTTTATTCATAGAAATGGTATATTTTATGAAAAACTTTGGACTATTAATTAAAACTTGATTGTTGTATATAGGCTTGCTTTGTGCCATGAATACATAGAGTGAATGGATCCTTTATTTATTTTAAAGCGTTTAGATTATAGCATTATTTCATTGCCTCCCTAAAGACTGATAATAAGCAAAGTAGTATCTTTTGTTTGAAGGCAAAATTGGTATGTCAGCGTGGACTCTGTGTTGGCAGCAGTTCTATTACCACTCTGGGTGATCCATCTAAAGGTAAGTCTGTAAGTAAAAAGAACCTTTCACAAGATGAAGTGAGATTTAGTTAATTTCATAAGACATCTATGTTGAAAGCCAGTTTTATTAGTGTCAAACAGTTCATAAATTTTATCATCGGCACTTTAAACACATAAATGAGTTTTGAATTTAAAACTTAGAGTATTTTTCAGTTCCAAGAGATTAGTACTGTCCTGAGGAACTCTTCTAAACTATCATAATGGCAATAGGAATAGAGAACAGATGGAACTCACCAAACCCAGCAACTATGGAATGGGAGGAATAAAAGAGAAATTGATTAAAAAAAAAAAAAAAAGGTTTTAAACCTATACCATAGTATGTTGTTAATAGAACAGAGGCACAGAAGGAGAGAAACAGATTGGTCAGGAAGCTGGTGAGTTGAAAGAGAAAAGTAATCTAATGGCTAATATGAATTAGCACTGAATTTTTTTAAACATCTGTTTTCTCATCTGTGAAATCAGTTAAACTACTTTGTATAGTTGTGAGAGTCAAAATAGGAAGTTCTCAGTAGATGACCAGTACTACTTTTGTGAGTTAAATTTGAGAAATAGTGCATTTTTTTAGGTGTTATTGAAACAAAGCCTACAAGGGATAAAATAGTTAGGAAAAGGATGAGAACAAGTATGAGGCTGGGGTTTTAGTTGAAGCCAAGACATTGTTATAGGATATAGTGTAGAAGGAAAAGATGCAAAAGAACAGTACTTTCGGTTAGTTAAAGGGACCAGGATATGGGGAAATGGGAATATTGGATGGAGAATTGGAAAGTAGAATTTCACATAAATAATAAGATCTGAATAGAGGAGTATTTAGTGGTGCTGAGAGCTACAGAATGTGGAGGTCAGGACTGAGAAAAATTATTAGGCTTCATGGCTAGATCTCCACTGACTTTGTTTTTTAAAATAACAGCTTTATCGTGATATAATTCACATTATAGAATTTTCCTATTTAAAGCATAGAGTTCATTGGGTTTTAAAAAAATATATTCACAGAGTTATGCAACTACCACCATGATGAATTTCCATTTTCATTACTGTGAAGTAGAAATCCTCTGGCAGTTAATAGGGACTCCCTGTTTTTCATGATGATCAGCCCTAAAAACTACATTTTACATTTGTAGATTAGCCTGTTCTGGACATTCTGTGTAAATCAAATATATGCAAGTCTTTTTGTGAGTAATTTACTTAGCATGTTTTTGAGGTTCAACCATGTTGTAGCATATATCAATACTTCATTTCTTTCTATGGTATATTTATTATGGTGTATTCTTTTATGTGGGTATACCACATTTTCTTTATGCACTCAAATTTATGGGTACTTTTGGCTTTCATGAATAATTTCATAAAATTCATGTTTGAATTTTTTGTGTGGATAATATTTTCATTTCTCTTGGGTCTGTTAGGAATGGAATCACAGGGTCATGTTTGTAAAACAAAAAAATTTTAACTTACATTCAGCTTATATTTGTAATGGAAATAAAAGGTGATAAATTCATAACCTCAATAACAAAACATGATACATTTTTTCTTCTCTTTTTTCACCCCACTGTCTTCATTATGAAAAATTCAAACATATGGAAAGTAGAGCACATGATGTGGTATACCCAACATCTAAGTTTAACAGATAGTAATTTGCCTTATAGGCTTTACATTTTTTTCCCCTGAAGAATTTGAAAGTAAAATACAACTGAACACCTCAGCTTGAGAGGCTGGCTTCAGTAGACTGGTATGGGTAGAAGTTGGTTGTTCCTGACAAGGCACAATCTTCATAGCACATAGCTGAAGATGATAGTCAAGTAACACTACTGCCTGTATATGTTTTATAGTTTTGGCTTAGATTATAACTGGAAAGTTTTGTGTTAACAGTCTTGTTTCTATTAGTTAAATGTTTTTTTTAGTTTAAAAGCTTATTGATCTTCTCGAGAACACTGTGGTTTCTATGATCCAGGTCTACCTTCCTCTCTTGGGTGACTTATTTGTAACCTGGAACACAAGCGAATGACCACAGATTTATTGCTCATTCTCACTATCACTATGTCAATGCTTTCTCACCCATTGTCTTTTCTATTTCAAAAGGGGGGATATTTGTGAAGTCCATCCTTTCCTCCTTACTTCGACTGCTGCTGTCTTGTTGAGAGCCCCCTTTCCTAATTGGTCTTGATTTTTTTCTCTCTTGATGGGAAATCTGCTTATCAAATGGTTCTCTGCTACCTACAGAATAAAGTCTTAAGCTAATTTTCAAATCATGCGAAGATCTTTACTATCCAGTTCCAACCTTCCTTATCAGCCTCAGCTTTTACCACTTCCTCCTCATTCCCAACACTGGTTTAAGTCCTTAATAGTGTGTGATCCTTTATATTTCCATACTTTTATTCATTCTCCTTTCTACTTAGGATTTCATTCCCCCATCTATTTAAACAATTCCTTTTTTTAAAATCTCACTATTTTATTTTATTTTTTGCCTAAAAACTTCTTTTTTAAGGTATACGAACTTCATGAATTTCATATATAGAAACTTAGGAACATAATGATTCTTCCCACTCAACCCTCCCTTTCACCTGTGTTCCTACCATTCTTCTTTCTCCCTCTTCTTTTTTTTTTTTTTTTTAATTAATTTATTTATTTTTGACAGGCAGAGTGGACAGTGAGAGAGAGAAAGATACAGAGAGAAAGGTCTTCCTTTTTGCCATTGGTTCACCCTCCAATGGCCTCCACGGCTGGCGCTCCGCTGATCCGATGGCAGGAGCCAGATACTTATCCTGGTTTCCCATGGGGTGCAGGGCCCAAGGCCTTGGGCCATCCTCCACTGCACTCCCTGGCCACAGCAGAGAGCTGGCCTGGAAGAGGGGCAACCGGGACAGAATCCGGCGCCCCAACTGGGACTAGAACCCAGTGTGCCGGCGCTGCAAGGCGGAGGATTAGCCTAGTGAGCCGCGGCGCCAGCTCCTTCTCCCTCTTCTATTCCTGTTCTTATTTTTCACTAAGATCTATTTTCAATCAACTTTATACTCATAAGATTAACCCTACACTAAATAACACTACACAAATAGTATGGGGGAAAAAAACTGCTTGCTCCTCAACAGTCAAGACAAAATGCTATTGAGTCATCACATCTCAAAAGTGTTAATTTCACGTCTATAAATTACCTTTTAGGTGCTCTGTTAGCTACCACAGATCAGGGAGAACATATAGTATTTTTGTTTTTGAGACTGGCTTATTTCACTAAGTATAATCATTTCCAGTTGCATCCATTTTGTTGCAAAAGACAGGATTTCATTTATTTTTACCACTGTGTAGTATTCCATGGTATACATATCCCATAATTTCTTTATCCAGTCCTCAGTTGATGCACATCTAGGTTGATTCCGTATCTTAGGTATTGTGAATTGAGCAGCAATAAATATGGGGGTACACATTACTCTTTCATATGCTGATTTCATTTCCTTTGGGTAAACTCCCAAGAGTGGGAAGACTGGGTCAATTGGTAGGTCTATAGTCAGATTTCTGTGATATCTTCATACTGTGTTCCATAGTGCCTGTGCCAGTTTACATTCCTACTAGCAGTGGATTAGGGTACCTCTTCCCCTATATCCTTGCTAGCATTTACAACTCCTTCTTTTCCAGACATTTAATTATATTATTTCTGTACTCATATAGTTCTTCATAACAAGAAAGCTTTTTTTAAAAAGAAAGCTTTTATTTAATAAATATAAATTTCATAGATACAGCTTTAGGAATATAGCAGTTCTTTGCCCTATACTCTCCCTTCTTCCCCCATTCCTATCCCACCTCTTACTCCCTCTCCCATCCCATTCTTCATTAAGATTCATTTTTAATTATCTTTGTATACAGAAGACCAATTCTATACTAAGTAAAGATTTCATCAGTTGGTAGTCACACAAAGTATAAAGTACTGTTTGAAGACAAGTTTTATTGTTCTCATAGTACAACTCATTAAAGAAAGAGGTCCTATGTGGGGAGCAAGTGCACAGTGACTCCTGTTGTTGATTTAACAATTGACACTCTTATGACGTCAGTGATCACCCAGGGCTCTTGTCATGAGCTGCCAAGGCTATGGAAGCCCTTTTTTTTTTTTTTTTTTTAAAGAGTTATTTATTTATTTGAAAGTCAGAGTTACACAGAGAGAGGAGAGGCAGAGAGAGGGAGAGGGAGGTCTTCCATCCACTGGTTCACTCTCCAGCTGGCTGCAATGGCCAGATTTGCGTCATTCTGAAGGCAGGAGCCAGCAGCTTCTTCTGGGTCTCCCATGTGAGTGCAGGGGCCTAAGGACTTGGGTCATCTTCCTCTGCTTTCCCAGGCCACAGCAGAGAGCTGGATTGGAAGTGGAGCGGTCAGGACTTGAAGTGGTGTCCATATGGGATGCCAGTACTTCAGGCAGCGGCCTTACCTACTACGCCACAGCGCCAACCACTATGGTAGCCTTTTGAGTCCACAAACTGTCAGTATTTAGACAGGGCCTTAAGCAAAGTGGAAGCTCTTTCTTCCCTTCAGAGAAAGGTACCTCCTTCTTTCCACTGGGATCTCACTCACAGAGATCTTTCTTGTAGGTCATTTTTTGCCACAGTATCTTGGCTTTCCATGCTTGAAATGCTTCTCATAGTGTCAATTTCACTTCTACAGGTTTTCTTTTAGGTACTCAGTTGTCACAGATCAGGGAGAACATACGATATTTGTCCCTTTGGGACTGGCTTATTTCACTAAGTATGATGTTTTCCAGATTGATCCATTTTGTTGCAAATGGCCAGATTTCATTTTTTTTTTTTTTTTTTACCACTGTGTAGCATTCCATAGAGTACATATCCCATAATTTCTTTATCCAGTCTTCCACTGACGGGCATTTAGGTTGATTCCATAACTTAGCTGTTGTGAACTGAGCTGCAATAAACATGGAGGTGAAGATAGCTCTTTTATTTGCTGACTTCATTTCCCTTGGGTAAATTCTGAGGAGTTGGATGGCTGGGTCGAATGGTAGGACTATATTCAGATTTCTGAGGTATCTCCAAACTGTCTTCCATAGTGACTTAACCAGTTTACATTCCCAACAACAGTGGATTAGGGTGCCTTTTCCCCCATACCCTCTCCAGCATTTGTTGTTTGTTGATTTCTGTATGAAAGCCATTCTAAGTGGGGTGAGGTGAAACCTCATTGTGGTTTTGATTTGCATTTCCCTGACAGCTAGTGATCCTGAACATTTTTTTCTGTGTCTGTTGGCCATTTAGATTTTTGCTTTTGAAAAATGTCTGTTGAAGTCTTTGGTCCATCTCTTAAGTGGGTTGGTTGTTTTGTTGTTGTGGAGTTTCTTGATCTCTTTGTAGATTGTGGTTATTAATCCTTTATAAGTTGTATAGTTTGCACAGAATTTCTCCTGTTCTGCTGATTGCCTCCTCATTTTCCTGTTTCTTTTGCTGTACAGAAACTTCTCAATTTGATATATTCTCAGCTGTAATTTTGGCTTTGTCTGCCTGTGCCTGTGGGGTCTTTGACAAGAAATCTTTGCTTGTGCCTGTATCTTGCAGGGTTTCTGCGATGTTCTGTAATAATTTGATGGTGTCGGGTCGTAGATTTAGGTCTTTAATCCATGCTGAGTGGATTTTTGTGTAAGGTGTCTTGCTTCATGCTTCTGCATGTGGAAATCGAGTTTTCTCAACACCATTTGTTGAAGACTGTCCTTGCACCAGAGATTGGTTTTAGCTCCTTGATCAAATGTAAGTTGGTTGTAGATGTTTGGATTGATTTCTGGTGTTCCTGGTCTGTTCCATTGGTCTATCCATCTGTTTTTGTTCCAGTACCATGCTGTTTTGATTATAGTTGCTGTGTAGTATTTCTTGAAATTCGGTGTTTTGATTCCACCGGCTTTGTTTTTGTTGTATAAGATTGCTTTAGCTATTCGAGGTCTCCTGTGCCTCCATATGAATTTCAGCATCATTATTTTCAGATCTGAGAAGAATGTCTTTGGTATTTTGATTGGTATCTCATTGGATCTGTAAATTGCTTTTGGAAGAATGGACATTTTGATGATATTGATTCTTCCAATCCATGAACATGAAAGATTTTTTCATTTTTTCTAATCTTCTTGTATTTCTTTAATATTTTTTAATTCTCATCATAGAGATCTTTGACATTCTTGGTTAAATTTATTCTAAGGTATTTGATTTTTTTATAGTTATTGTATAACACTTTTTTTTCGACATGAAAAGGATTTTTTTATTCAACTCTTAGCTACTTAGAACATGGAATTGCCAACACATTTCTCACAATGAAGGTTTTATAGCATTCACTGATTTGCAGGTTTTCCTTTTTTTAAAAAATTAAGGCATCATTGTGGGTGACACTGACAAATACAGAAAGAAAAGGAGTGAGAGGCAGATCATGACTCGAGTAGACTGCAGCACATAAGACAATAACTGCAGGCCAAGTACAGAAGATGCTGGAGAAAGGCTACTGAAGCACAAATTAGCCTTTCAGAATTAGTTACCTGGCATTGACTTGGGTCTTATTAAAACATTTATTTATTTTTACTTATTTGAAAGGCATTGAGAGATGGACAGGCAGAGAAAGAGACAGACAGAGATCCTCTATCTGCTGGTTCCCTCCCCAAATGCCTGCAACTGCTGAGGCCCGAGCAGGCTAATTACAGGAGCCTGGAACTCAATTCAGGTGTCTGTCTGTCTCTCTCTCTCTCTCTTTTTTTTTTTTAGAAAACTTTTATTTAATAAATATAAATTTCAAGTGTACAACTTTTGGATTATAGGAGTTTTCCCCCCCATAACCACCCACAAACTATCCTATCTCCCCCTCCATTTCCCATCCCATTCTTCATTAAGATTCATTTTTAATTATCCTTATATACAGAAGATCAACTTAGTGTATACTAAGTAAAGATTTCAACAGTTTGTACCCACACAGACACACAAAGTATAAAGTATTGTTTGAAGACTACTTTTACCATTGATTTTCATAGTATAACACATTAAGGACAGAGATCCTACATGGGGAGTAAGTACACAGTTACTGCTGGGATAACACTACTTTTTGCATTTAGTAATACTTGTTTACATTTCCATGTGCCCTCAGATGCATAATATTCTTGGCAAATACTTAATTAGCTACTAGCTACTGTATGTTGGGCTATGGTATATTTATATTGACAAATATAACCCCTGCCTTAATAGAATTTTTGATCTAGTACAATAAACTTGTTGATGGTAGAGACCTCATTTTTTTTTTTTTTTTTTTTTGACAGGCAGAGTGGACAGTGAGAGAGAGACAGAGAAAAAGGTCTTCCTTTTGCCGTTGGTTCACCCTCCAATGGCCTCCACGGCTGGCGCGATGCAGCCGGGGCACCGCGCTGATCCAAAGCCAGGAGCCAGGTGCTTCTCCTGGTCTCCCATGGGGTGCAGGGCCCAAGCACTTGGGCCATCCTCCACTGCACTCCCTGGCCACAGCAGAGAGCTGGCCTGGAAGAGGGGCAACAGGGACAGAATCCAGTGCCCCGACCAGGACTAGAACCTGGTGTGCCAGGGCCACAAGGCGGAAGATTAGCCTATTGAGCTGCTGCGCTGGCGAGACCTCATTTTATTTACTTTTGTATCACTACTTTCTAGTACAAAATCTGCCATATAGTAAGCTTTCAGTGCGTATTATTAAGTAATAAATAAAAATACTGATTTTTTTCCCCCAAAGAGTAAATAGACTACTGTATACCTTTTGGTTGAATGGTTGCACAGAGGGAAAAAACAGACAAATTTTGGATTTTATTTCAGTTCTTGTGCCTGATTAGAAAATGTATTATCAAGCAGATATTTTTTAGCTTTGTTTCCATAAGTTTAGAATATCACAGTGGCTCTCTAAAAGGTGTGCAGTATCAAAACAAATTTTTTAAAAAACTCATTTGTCCTTTGTTATTCTTGTTTAATTAAAAATATTCACTTGTGAATTATATCAGTATTCTTTTTAAAGTGTAAATTAATCTGTATCTTATACTTTTATAGGTGTATACGTTTCGAAATACTCAGATTATCTTCATCCAAGACCGTGGTATCATGGGAAATCTGGCTATATTGTAATATTTAACCTAATTAAGGTAAAACCCAGATGTGTTTTTTATGTAATTTTTTCATAAAAACTGAAAGTCATCCACCTGTGATGTTCTTTCTAGATTGTTAGGTAAATATAGTACTACCCTGCCAAAGGTGGTTATCTAAGTGCAGGGAAAACAAAAATGTTTTACTTTAAAAACAAAACTTGGGGCCCAGGTTGTGGCACGGTGAGCTAAGCAGCAGCCTTCAACACCAGTATCCGTATTGGAAAGCTGGTTCTAGTCCTGGCTGCTCTGCTGCTGATCCAGCGTCCTGCTACTGCACCTAGTAAAAGCAGTGAAAGCTGTGCCGAGTGCTTGGGCCCCGTCTGGGAGACCAGGATGGAGTTCCTGGCTCCTAATGTCAACCTAGCCCAGCCCTTGCTGTTGTGGCCACTTGGATAGTGAACCAGAGGATAGAACTCTCTTGTCTCTCTCTTTCTCTCTCTGTAACTCTGCCTTTCAAATAAAATACAGTTTTTGAAAATCTCTACTGTCTTTATCAAAGGTTGCTCTACCAGACAAAAGAAAGGAAAACTTTTCAGTGAAAGTCCTTTTTATTATTTTCAAGTTTAAAATAATTCACAGATAATTTGTTAAACCAACAGAGAAAAAAAAATTTTTTTAAAGATTTATTACTTGAGGCCGGTGCTGTGGTGCAGTGGGTTAATACCCTGGCCTGAAGCACCGGCATCCCATATGGGCGCTGGTTCGAGACCCAGCTGCTCCACTTCCAATCCTGCTCTCTGCTAGGGCCTGGTAAAGCAGTAGAAGATGGCCCAAGTCCTTGGGCCCCTCTACCTGGATGGGAGACCTGGAAGCTCCTGGCTTTGGATTGGCACAGCTCCAGCTATTGCAGCCAGTTGGGGAGTGAACCATCGGCTGGAAGACCTCTCTCTCTCTCTCTCTCTCTCTGCCTCTCCTCTCTCTCTCTCTGTGTGTAACTCTGACTTTCAAATAAATAAATAAACCTTAAAAAAAAAAAAAAGATTTATTACTGTCTCCCAGGCACATTAGCAGAAAACTCAGTTGGAAGCAGAGTAGCCACAACTCAAACCAGAAATTCCAGTATGGACTGAAGGCATCCCAAGCAGCAGCTTAGCTTGCTACATAGTAACTCCCACTCCTTGTGGTATATTTTTACTTATTTAAAAGGCAGAGAAACGGCTTTCGTCACTGAATCACACCCAAAATACCTGCAATAGCTAGGGCTGGGCAGAGCCAAAGCCAGGATCCCAGAACTTAGTCGGGGTTTTACAAGTGGCTGGGAAAGACCCAAGAAGTCTGCTGCCTCCCAAGTGATGCATTAGCAGGAAGCCAGGGTGGAATTAGAGATGGGACATCGATCTAGGTACTCTACTATGATTTAGCCACTACTGCTGAATGCTTGCCTGACAACCACATTATAAGCATGAAATAATAGAAAACAAGTATTTGCTCATAGAATGAGATTACAGTTATAAAATGTGAATTTAGAAAACAATATGTCTGGTTTAAATTGTCAAAAAAATTTTTTCTTGTTTTTTAAGATTTATTTATTTATTTGAAAGGCAGAGTTACAGAGAAAGAGAGAGGGAAAGACAGAGAGAGATCTTCTGTCTGCTGGTTCACTTCCCAAATGGCCGCATTAGCTGGAGCTGGGCCCATCCAAAGCCAGGAGCCAAGAGCCTCTTCTGGGTCTCCCACATGGTTGCAGGGCCCAAGAACTTGGGCCATCTTCCACTGCTTTCCTAGGCACATTAGCAGGGAGCTGGATTGGAAGTGGAGCAGCCAGGACTTGAACTGGTACCCATATAGGATGCTGGTGCCACTTCCCACCACACTACAGTGCCAGCCCCCAAATAAGTGGTCTTTATTCTTAAGACATCCAGACTTGGTTCACAGCGTTATGTGGTACCTAGAACTGATCATCTCACAAATTTTTAAATTCCTAAATAGTGCAGCTTAAGTGAAATAAGCCAATTAGAACTGTTGAACAAATAATAGGAAAGATAATTGTGGGTAGGCATTTTGAAGTTATTTCTGTGGTTTTGTTTTTATTTTTGTTTTATTTTTTCTATCTAGAAACTTTTTATTTAAGGTATACAAATTAAGAAGATAGTGATTCTTCCCACGCTACCCTCTACCCACACTCCCACCTTTCTTTTTCCTCCCTCTCCTATTCCCACCCTTATTTCTTACAAAGATCTATTTTCAGCTAACTTTATACTCTTAAGATTAACCCTACATTAAGTGAAGAGTTCAACAAATAGTGTGGAAAAAAAACCCACTGTTCCTCATCAGTTGAGACAAAGGCTGTTCAAAATTATCACTTCCATAGATTACCTTTTAGGTACTCTATTATTTACCACAGATCAGGGAGAACATATGGTATTTGGATAATGGTTTCCAGTTGCATCCATTTTGTTGCAAATGACAGGATTTTTTCTGCTATGTAGTATTCCATAGTGTACATATCCCATAATTTCTTTATGTAGTCTTCAGCTAATAAGACATCTGGGTTAATTCCATATCTTAGGTATTGTGAATTGAGCAGCAATAAACATGCAGGTACAGATCACTCTTTGATATGCTGATTTCATTTCCTTTTGGTAAATTCCCAATAGTGAGATGGCTGGGTCATATGTTAGGTCTATATTCAGATTTCTGAGGTATCTCCATACTGTGTTCCACAGTGGCTGTACCAGTCTACATTCTCACCAGCAGTGGATTAGGGTACCTTTTTATTTTACATCTTTGCCAGCATTGTTGTTAAGCTGATTTCTGTATGAAAGTAAATCTAACTGGGGTGATGACTCGTGATGCTCAGCAGTTTTTCATGTGTCCGTTAGCCGTTTGATTTTCCTCTTTGGAAAACTGCCTGTTCAAGTCCTTTGCCCATTTCCTTACTGGATTGTTTATTTTGTTGTTGTTGAGTTTTTAGAGCTCTTTATAAATTCTGAATATTAATCTTTTATCAGTTGCAGAGTTTGCAAATATTTTCCCATATTTTGCTGGTTGCCTCTTCACTTTGCAGTATTTTTTGCAGTGCAGAAGCTTCTCATTTGTCAAATTTGGCTTTGATTACCTGTGCTTCTGGTGTCTTTTCCAAGAAGTCTTTGCCTATGTCAGTCTTACAGAGTTTCCCCAATGTTCTCTAGTAATTTGATGATATTGGATCATAGATTTAGGACTTTGATCCATTTTGAGAAGATTTTTGTGTAAGGTGTAAGGTAGGGGCCTTGCTTCATACTTCTGCATGAAGAGATCCAGTTTTCCCAGCACCACTTGTTGAAGAGACCGTTCTTGCTCCAGGGATCAATTTTAGCTCCTTTGTCAAAGGTAAGTTGGCTATAGATGTGTGGATTGACTTCAGGAGTTTCCATCCTGTTCCATTGGTCTACACGTCTATTTCTGTGCCAGTACCCAGCTGTTTTGATTATGACTGCTGTGTAGTATGTCTTGAGATCTGATGCCTCTGGCCATGTTTGTGTTGTGTTGTTTAAGACTGCTTTAGCTATTCGGGGTCTCTTGTGTTTCCATATGAATTTTAGCATTGCTTTTTCTAGATCTCAGAAGAATATTGTTGCTATTTTGATTGGGATTGTATTAAATCTGTAAATTGTTTTCAGTTTTCCCCATTCAATAGGACGTTGGCTGTGGGTTTGTCAGAAATTGCCTTGATTGTGTTGAGGAATGTTCCTTCTATACCCAGTTTGCTTACAGTTTTCATCATAAAGGCGTGTTGTATTTTATTAAATATTTTCTTGGCATCTATTGAGATAATCATATGGTTTTTTAAAAAGATTTATTTGTTGTTTATTTGAAAGTTAGAGTTACACAGAGAAGGAAAGGCAGAGAGAGAGAGAGAGAGAGAGAGAGAGAGATCTTCCATCCACTGGTTCACTCCCTAGTTGGCTGCAACAGCCGGAGCTGTGCTGATCTGAAGCCAGGAAGCAGGAGCTTCCTTCAGGTCTCCCATGCATATGCAGGAGCCCAAGGACTTGGGCCATCTTCTACTGCTTTCCCAGGCCATAGCAGAAAGCTGGATTGGAAGTGGAGCAGCCGTGTCTCGAACCAGCACCCATATGGGATGCCTGCACTGCAGGTGGTGGCTTGACCTGCTATGCCACAGCACCAGCCTCCATATGGTTTTTGTTCTTCAGTTTGTTAATGTGATGTATCACATGATTGATTTGCAAATGTTGAACCATCCCTGCATACCAGTGGTAAATCCTGCTTGGTTGGGTGAATGATCTTTCTGGTTTGTTGTTGAATTAGATTGGTTTGTATTTTGTTGAGGATTTTTACATCTGTGTTCATTAGGTTAATTGGTCTGTAGTTTTCTTTCTCTATGTTATCTCTTTCTGGTTTAGGAATAAGGTGATGCTGGCTTCATAGGAGTTTGGGATGATTCTCTCCCTTTGAATTGTATTGAATAGCTTGAGAAGAATTGGAGTTAGTTCTTCTCTATCTGGTGGAATTCATCAGTGAAGCCATCTGGTTCTGGACATTCTTTGTTGGAAGGGTCTTTATTACTGATTCAATCTCTGTCTTGGTTATTGGTCTGCGTAGGTTTCTATATCTTCATGGCTCAATTTTGATAGGCTGTATATGTCTAGGAATCTGTCCATTTCTTTTAGGTCTCCCGATTTGTTGGCATACAGCTCTTTATAGTAATTTCCTAATGATTCTTTTTATTTCTGTGGTGTCTGTTGTTACATTTCCTTTTTCATCTCCAATTTTATTAATTTGGGTCTTCTTCCCCCTTTTTTTTCTTAATTAGTTGGGCCAATGGTCTGTCGATTTTGTTTATTTTTTCAAAAAAAGCAGCTCTTTGTTTTACTAATATTTTGTTTTTCTTCTTTTGGTTTGAATTTTGTTTATTTCTTCTCTAATTTTAATTATTTCTTTTCTCCTACTAATTTGAGGTTCAGTTTGTTGTTTTTCTAGGTCGTTGGGATGCATTGGATAGCCATTTATTTGGTGCCTTTCTAGTTTCTTGATGTAGGCACCAATTGCTATAAACTTACCTCTTAATACTGCTTTTGCTATATCCCATAAGTTTTGATATGTTGTATTGTCTTCATTTCCAGAAATTTTTTTATTTCTCCTATGATCCACTATTCATTTAGAAGCATGTTGTCCAGTCTCCATGTGTTTGCCTAATTTCTAGAGGATCTTGAGTTGCTGATTTCCAGCTTCATTCCATTGTAGTTCAAGAAGATGCATGGTATTTTTTTTTTTTTTTAATTTGCTGAGGGCTTGCTTTATGGGCTAGCATGTGATCTATTCTAGAGAAACCAATGCAATTGGTGAGAAGACTGTGTATTCTGCAACTGTGGGATGAAAAGTTCTGTAGAATGGCTGGCACCGCAGCTCAATAGGCTAATCCTCCGCCTTGTGGCCCTGGCACACCAGGTTCTAGTCCTGGTCGGGGCACTGGATTCTGTCCCTGTTGCCCCTCTTCCAGGCCAGCTCTCTGCTGTGGCCAGGGAGTGCAGTGGAGGATGGCCCAAGTGCTTGGGCCCTGCACCCCATGGGAGACCAGGAGAAGCACCTGGCTCCTGGCTTTGGATCAGCGCGGTGCCCCGGCCGCATTGCGCCAGCCGTGGCGGCCATTGGAGGGTGAACCAATGGCAAAAGGAAGACCTTTTTCTCTGTCTCTCTCTCTGTCACTGTCCACTCTGCCCGCCCCCCGCCAAAAAAAAAAAAAAAAAGTTCTGTAGAAATCAGTTAGGTCCTTTTGGTCTATAGTGTTGATTAACTCTGTTGTTTCGTTGTTGATGATCTGTCCATTGCTGAAAGTGGGGTATTGGAGTTTCCCATTACAATTGTATTGTATGTCTCACTTTAAATCTATTAACATTTGTTTTAAATAGCCAGGCACCCTGTAATTGTTATTATTATAGTTACATGTTCCTGTTGAATTGATCCCTTAATCATTGCATAGTGTTGTTTTTGTTTTAGTTTCCTTGGTATCTCAAAATCTTTGATTATAGAACCAATCCTTTTTTTTTTTTAAAGTATGAACTATTTCAACATTCCTTAAAAACTGGAGGGAAAATAACATTGCTTTGAAGTACAAACACTGCTTTTTCTCTATTAATATTTTTTCTGTTCTCTGATAAATTATACAGTTCTGCTACAGAAGTATTCCTAACAAGTCAGATAAACATTTGATTTTTTTCACTTTGGTTGGATTGTACCTCAGCATTTGTTTCTTGACTTGTAAACCCACCCATATGGCTGAAGGTTGCTTTTCAAGTTTTTGGTTGTACACTCTCAATCTTCCTTTTGGCTTCTCAAAATCAAGACATACTCAGGGGGGCCGGGGCTGTGGCGTAGCGGGTAAGGCTGCCTCCTTAAGTGCCAGCATCCCATGTGGGTGCTAGTTGGAGTCATGGCTGCTCCACTTCTGATCCAGCTCTTTGCGATGGCCTGGGAAAGTAGTAGAAGATGGCCCAAGTCCTTGGGCCCCTACACTTGCATGGGAGACCCGGAAGAAGCTCCTGACTCCTGGCTTCGGATTGGTGCAGCTCCGGCCATTGTATCCAACTGCAGAGTGAACCAGCGGATGGAAGGCCTCTCTCTCTCTCTCTCTCTCTCTGCGTAACTCTGACTTTCAAATAAATAAATAAATCTTTAAAGAAAAAAAGATATACTCAGTGCCATAGGTATGAATGCTTATTCTGTACAGTACTGTTTATATTCTTCGGCTTCTTAGTATTGCCTTTGGTGGTGTATAAATGCAGAGGACTCTTTTTAAAGTAACTATATTGTTATAAAAGTTGTCTATAATTTCTTGCCTCACTTTGGTATATATGGTATATATTTTGCACATTTAAATTTTTCCCTTACATATATATTTATTTAAACCCACAAAAGAGTTTATAATGCATACACTTAGGTGCATATTCTTTAACTTAACATTACGTTGTAAACATTTTCTAATGTCATAGTACTCAAAACTGCTTTTTGTGGCCAGTGTTGTGGTGTAGCCTGTTAAACTGCCTCCTGCAATACCAGCATTTTGTATAGACGCAGGTTTGAGTCCTGGCTGCTCCATTTCCAGCCTAGCTCCATGCTAATGTGCCACAGAAAGCAGCGGAAGATGGCCCAAGTCCTTGGGCCCCTGTGCCCTCATGGGAGACCTGGAAGAAGCTCCTGGACATGGCCTGGCCCACCCTCAGCTGTTGCAGCCAGTTTGGGAGTGAACCAGGCGATAGAACATTCTCTCTGTCTGTCTTTGTATGTTTCCCACTCTCTGTGTAACTCTTTCAAATAAAAAGTTTTATCTTTTGTTTGTTTATTTAAGTAATTATGATATGTCATCTTATGGTAACTTTGAATTTTTTCTTTTTCCTTTTTGTGAGACTTGTAATTCTAATGAAGGGAAATATAGAATGAGAAATACTGTTGGCTTTTCCAGTGATCAGGGCCAACCACCTGTTAAGTACTTTACTACTTACTTACTCCTTGCTGATTTATTGGGCCCTGCCACAATAGAAGTATCTTAGTCTATAATTACAATAGATAATACTAAGTTTAGAAACACATCTGTTGAAATTTTAGATTTCATTTGTCATCTTTTATATTCAGTCACTGAAGAACCATTCAATAAGTATAACGTAAAATTTGGTGGACTGTGTAGGCTTTCTCTTAAAGAAGTGGTTCTCTTATGTTTGTTGTAATTCGCATGTTCCTTTTTTTTTTTTTTTTAAGATTTATTTTATTTATTTGAAAGAGTTACATAGAGAGGTAGAGACAGAGAGAGAGGTTTTCCATCTGCTGGTTCACTCCCCAGCTGGCCGCAGTGGCTGGAGCTGCACCAATCCAAAGCCAGGAGCCTGGAGCTTCTTCCAGGTCTCCCAAGGACTTGGGCCATCTTCTACTGCTTTCCCAGGCCATAGCAGAGAGCTGGATTGGAAGAGGAGAAGCTGGGACTTGAACCTGCTCCCATATGGGATGCTGGCGCTTCAGGCCAGGGCTTGAACCCGCTGTGCCACAGCGCCGACCCTTCACATGTTGCTTTGATATTGTATAAAAGCCACAGACGTTTGTCTCAGAAAAATGCCAAAACAAGATTTTTTTAATGCAATTTTAAGGGGTTCATGGGTAATTAGAGTGTTTCTGTCCTTAAGATAATTGTTTCTCCAAGAAGGATAGCTCATAGCATAGTTACTGGTAGTGAAAACACATCCACGTCATTAGACTACTTTTTTGTTTTTCCTTTTTTGTTTTAAATGAATCATAGAGTGAGAGTTACTGCTCTTCAAAGACATCTGATTTGTTTTCATGTTTTCATTCTAGGGAAAAGTCAAGTTTGTGTCTGAGAATTACACGACTAACTATACTAGGCCATCTTCTGGCTATGATTGCCACGTGGCTGCAGATACAAACAAGGTTTCTCATAAGACGAGTCATTTTCGTGCCTTTGAATTGAGTCAGGTATAGTACCTTTGATAATACCCAAGGTGTATTTCTGATTCTAATGTGTTAAATTTCAGGGCTGCGTGGGGTTTTGATTAAACTTGATACGTATGCAATTCCATTGTGCTACTCTAATACTTAATCTTCTTCTTTCAGTATTACCTCTATGAACTTTCAGGGAGTACTGTTACTAAGCGACCAAGACAGCTCTGTCCTTATGTAATTGTAGCTTTTAAGTACAGGGAACCTAAAATGATGGCAGCATCTGTTCATAAAAGCATGTAAGTAATTATGTACATACTTAGTTTTACTGGACTAGTTTCTTTTGCTCTTTTTTTATATAAAATAAAAATTATTATTTTCTTTTCTAGACCTGAACTCACTGAAAATGGTAAGAAATTACCTCATTGGTTCTTTTGTTCATTTGTTCTTTTTTTTTCTTCATTCAAATGATCTTTTTTTCACTCTCATTTCTTGAAGTTCTTGTTCCTCCATGGAAAGGGAAATTAATTATTGGAGGTTATATGCTATGTGATATAACACTTCGGTCCACTTATGGTATGGTAATTCCAACACAACTGTAAGTACTAAATTTTGTGTTCTCTACCTAATGCCTGAATTAAATAACTTTCTAAATTATTTTGAGGTCTTGATAAATAGCTTTGGTGTGAAATATAGGAATTGTACTTGAGTTTAGATTAGGACACATTTGGTAGATGTGCAGAGAACAGGGCCATGATACAGGAGACCTAAATTCTAATCCTTTAATGGGTAAATGAACTCTCAAGATAAATTATTTGAAAGTAGAAGCTTGATTTTCCATAAAAAGTAAATCAGATTTGCTTGGGTCATAGGTATATCAGATTATAGCCACTTAATCCTCTTATTGTGTATTATGATTTACAATACCTTATTTTCTGATTTTCATGATTCTCTTAGAAAAATATTAAAATATCTGTTAAACATATTTATATTATAATGAATATTTTCTCTTGAGGAATTGTGAAAGACATCTTCTGAAATATTTTTTTTATCCTGTTCTTAATTTGTACCCCAAACCACTTAAAGACGTAATTTAATTGATGTAGAAGGTAAAATTGATGTGCTCTTAGGATTCATTATCTTTTTATTAGCCTTTTGTAAGCCATGGCATGGGTATTATAAAATAAAGTAAGAATTCTGTAAATAAATAAATGAAAAAGAACTTTTTATTAGTAAAATGCAACCAAAATATATGGAAAGGAAGGCAGCTGTTTGGACTAACGATTAAAAAAAATTGTTTAACTTGAAAGGTAGTTATGGAGAGAGAAATTGAGAGAGATTGATCTTGCATTTGCTGGTTCACCCTTCACATGTCTATAATGGCTGGGGCTGGGCCAAGCCAAAGCCTGGAACCAGGAGGTACAGGGTCCCAAGCACTTGGGCCATTCTCTGCTTTTTTTACATAGCCTAATGTTGAAGACACCCACATCCATATCAGAGTGTGTGGATTTCATACCCAGTTTCAGCTTCTGACTTGAGCCTTTTGCTAATGTAGACCATGGGAGGCAGTTGTAATGGCCTAAGTTACTGACACCCATAAAGGAGACTTGGGTTGAGTTCCTGGCTCCTAGCTTCATCCTGGCCTCAGCCCAGTTATTGAGGTATCCAGAAAACTGAACCAACAGATGGTAGCATGCTCACTTGCTCACTCTTTCTTTCCCTCTGTTCTTGCCTATCTTCTTTCTTCCCTTCCTTCCTGTTTTCCCCCCTCCCTTCATTGCTTCCTTTCACTCCTTCTCCTACTCTCTTTCTCCCCTCCTCTCCGTCCCTCCCTCTTCTCCTCTCTCCTTCAATTAATCAATCAATAAAATGTAAAAGGAATGACAGAATTAGAGAAACACTATTTGGCAACAACATAAGTCAATCAGTGGATGCTAAAAATAATAGATGAAAGTTTGATTTTTGCATACCTTAGAGTATCTCTCCACAACTTGCTTGTTAATCATGAAGGAAAAAATAGACACTTCCTGGTGGAGAACACAGTCAGATACCATACCAATTTAAGGGGTTAAGTTATTGCTGTTAATGGAATGCATGCCATGTGCTTCCTTGTATGACACACAGAGAATGACACTATTTCTTCTGACTTTGGGTCTTCCTGTCAATCTAATTAGGAGGAAACAGTAGCTGTACCAGATTTTTTTTTTTTAAGATTATTTATTTGCAAGTCAGAGTTACACAGAGAGAAGAGAGGCAGAGAGAGAGAGAGAGAGAGAGAGAGAGAGAGAGAGAGGTCTCCCATCCGATGGTTCACTCCCCAGATGGCCGCAATGGCTGGAGCTATGTCGATCCAAAGCCAGGAGCCAGGAGCTTCTTCTGAGTCTCCCATGTGGGTGCAGGGGCCCAAGGACTTAGGCCATCCTCTACTGTTTTCCCAGGCCTTAGCAGAGAGCTGGATTGGAAGTGGAGCAGCTGGGTCTTGAACCGGCGCCCATATGGGATGCCAGTGCTTCAGGCCAAAGTGTTAACCCACTGTGCCACAGTGCCAGCCCCAGCTCTACTAGATTGAGAGGTGTTGTGCAAACTGGTCTGTATTCTACAGAATGTCAAGGTCACTAAAGATTAAAAAAAAAAAAAAAAGACTAAGAAACTATTCGATAAAGAAGCATAATAAAATGCATTATGTTATTATGTTAGGTATATGTGCCTATGTGTTGGGTGTTTTTTTCTGTTTTTTTTCTTTTTTTTTTTTTTTTGCCGTGAAAGATTTTAGTGAGATGCTTGTGAAATCTTGAATATGATACAGGTTAAGTAACAATGTTATATCATTGTGAATTTCTTGATTTTGTTAATTGATTTGTGATTTAACAAGAAAATTTCCTTTTTAAAGGAAACAAATATTTGGGCTAAGAGGATATTAGGTTTGCATCTCACTCTCCAGGATTCAGAAAAAATTGTGTGTGTGTTTACAGAAATAATGACAAAGTGAACGTGATGTGGTATTCTTTTGACATTTATGGAAGAATATAAAAGAAAATTCTTTGTATGTGGTATCTAAAAAAGTTCATGGAAAATTGAATTAAAATACAAGTTTAGGGGCAGGCATTTGGCCTAGCAATTAAGATGCTGCTTGGGACACCTGCATCCCATACTGGAATGCCTAGGTTCAGGTTCTAGCTCTGCTTCCCTTTCTAGCTTCCTGCTCATGTGTATCCAGGAAGGAAGCAGGTAATGGCTCGGGTAGTTGACTGCCTGCTACCCACATGGGAGAACCAGATTGTGTGTTTAATTCCTGACTTAGGCCTGGAACAGTCCTGGCTTCAGGCAGACTTGGCCTGCAAGCATTTGGGGGAGTGAACCACTGAATGAATTATTGTTCTCGTCTTCCCTCCCCTTCTTTGCCTCCCCTCCCCTCTCTTCTCCTCTGCTTTCTCTCTCTCTCTTTCTCTCTCAAACACACACATACACACACATAAACAGATAAAATACATAAATAAAATTTTTGAAAGAAAAACAAACTTAGTTTGGTGCAAAATATTTTGAAATCCATGCATAGTTTGTTTCACAATATGCATTTTCTAAGAGCTTTTCAATGGTCCTGTGTAAATATTTCTTTGCCATATTTAGATATTGTGGTCGTACCAAAAATATATATATTTAAAAAATGTGAACATATTTGCAGACCATAGTCTATGGGGCATGTATTTGAAAATCTGAACTATTTATAACTATGTTTTTAACCTGTGGTTATTGTATTATGTATTAAATTTATGTTAAAAAACCAAAATATTTTATATGATTTGATATTGTTTTGTTTTTTAGACCACCGGAGCTAGATTTTAAATATGTAATGAAAGTGTCTTCTTTGAAAAAAAGACTCCCAGAAGCTGCTTTTAAAAAACAGAATTACTTGACACAGAAAGGTCTGTTTTGTTGAAATGTAATGCCACACTGCATGTCCTGGTCTTTATTCCAGTTATTTTCCACTCTGCCTCCAAATGTACATATACTTTTGTTTCATTCCAAGTGATTTTTAAGAGACTTTTTTTGAAAGTTCTGGAGTTGCTATGTTCTTAAGTTTCTTCGAAACTGAAAGGTGGTTTAACTAAGCTGACAAAGACTAGTTTTAATGTAGAATACTGAGGAAATTAAGAAGCTAGAAACCCATACTCATTCCTCTCAAGGAGAACAGAGTTTTTATTTTTGTTTTTACTTATTTAATTCTGAATTCCATGAAAAAAAATTAGAAGAAAATTTATTGCTCTTTTAGGTTAATTCTTGCAACTTGAAGTGTATTTTATTTAAATAGTATTTAATTGTCATGGGAATCTCATAGGAGTGTCAGTTAGTATGAGAACATTGTTTTAAAATAATTATTTCAGTAACCTTTAATTAAGGAGTTTTATAACCAGGAATAATAAGTTGTAAAGGATTTTTTTTTAGTAGTTGTCCTAGTTCTTTAATTTTTGTAATAAATTAATAAATTATAAAAGCAATGCATATTAAAAATAAGAAATTTTCTGATTTTTCTTTACAGTCTGTTGCCAAGATTTATGCTTCAGTTTGTATGATGTGGAACTGTCAAACAGACAAGGGGAAAAAATAGATAAGCTAATAGAATATATTAAAAATAAGCAGTTGGTAAGAATCATTTATTTAAAATACAATTTTTAATTGAAAAATTGATCTCTAAATATTTGTTGGCTGTATCTCAATTGAGTTATTGTGGCTTGCTGAATTTTCATTATTTAATATTTACTAACATTTTCATCTCCTTTGTATTTATTTGAAAGATTATTTATTTATTTTAAAAGTCAGAGTTATAGAGAAAGGGAGAGACATAACTGCCAGCGTTAAAACCAGGCTGAAGCTAGGAGCCAGGAGCTCTCTCCAGGTTACCTTTGTGGGTGGTAGGAGCCCAAACACTTGGACCATCTTCGGCTACTTTTCCCATGCCATTAGAAAGAAACTGGATCAGAAATGGAGCAGTCAGGACCCAAAGGGTGCCATATGGCATGCCGGTGTTGTCCTTTACCCGCTATGCCACAAAGCCTGTCTCTCCTTTGTATCTCACTTTACTCTTGTGTCTTTCTAGTCAGTTTATACTCTCAACTGTAAGAAAATAAGGACAGTTTTCTCAGTCTTTATTGTTATTTTTGGGTTTTGGCAGAATTGAATTACATCTCCAATATTTCTGCGTTAATCAAAGGACCACTTGTGAGATACTTCTTTTTTTTTCCTTTTAAATTAGCATAGTCCTTTTCTATATTTGAAAATTAAAAGTAAGAAAGTCCAAAAATATTTTCAGAAAATGCAGTTGGTGAAGGAATTGCTCATGAGTGTTTATGGTTGTAAGAATAGTCAAGATTTGGGGGTGGCACTGTGGCTTAAAAGGTTAAGCCTCCACCTGCAGTGCCGTTATCTCATTTGGGTGCCAGTTCAAGTGCTGGCTGCTCTGCTTCTTATCCAGGTCTCTGCAAAAGTGCCTGGAAAAGCAGAGGAAGGTGGCCCACGTACTTGGGCCCCTGCACCCATGTAGGAGACTCAGAAGAAGCTCCTGACTCCTGGCTTCATTCTGGCCCAGCCCCAGCCATTGTGGGCATTTGGGGAGTGAACCAGCAAATAGAAGATCTCTCCCTCTCTCTCTCCTTCTCTCTCTCTCTAGCTTTCAAATTAATAAATCTTAAAATAATAGTCAAAATTTAGTGCTGCTTTTGCTTTGAAAGTTGTTTATTAGTAAAAGTTATTGATAGAAATTACATATCACTTATGGTCCTTTCCCAACAGTGCTCAATGTTTTGTATTATGAATTTTTTTTTTTATTCCTCTGTCTCTCCAGCTAGACCGTGAGTTTTTGAGATTGGGTATTACGCCTTAATCATCTGTGATACATTAGTGCTTAATGTATGGTGAGCAAGCAATCTGTCCTTTGAAGAAAGTATGTGGGGTTATGTCTAGAACCTTGAATTTGAGAACAATACAGAACAAGGTCTCTTTAAGATGTTGTTAAGGACATGTAGGACTGTTTTTTCATTTGCATTGGACAGAGGCTTGAAATAGATGTTTAAGAGATTATGATTTCTCACAAAGGCTAAAATAGGAACTTTATACAGCTTTTTCAGTACACAGTTTGAGACACTGATAAGATAAACATGCATTTGTTTTATTTCTTTGTATTTTGGAAGATAGAAATGCATGAGCTTAATGAGCTTTCATTTGTATTACAAAACTAAAATGGAGAACAAGGTAGAACTTTATTGTCACTGTCCTTTTTTATGTTAGCAGAAAATAAAATAGTTTAAAGGTTTAATAGATCCCAAAGTCATGGGATATATAATTATTAATATTCAGTATTCTGAATATTCATTAATTCCTGGATGTCTAACATGTTCTAGACTAGGAGCAAGGATACAGAATAGTCCCTAAGTCATAGTTCCCATAAGTCAAGGAGCTTATAAAACTATAGAAAAGAAAAAAATGTAAGTTCAAATGCTATAAAACTTACAGGAGCTATAGTGGAAATGTATTGAAACTCAAGATAGTTGATTCTTCTTATAAGTGAGCTATCAGTGTCAAAACTGAGTTGTGATAATTAGAAAAGGTATTTATTTCATGTTTTCTTTGTGATTGAATAGTTTGTTGATTTATCATATTTGTAGGTTTAAGTCCTGTCGGGTTTGAAATGTTTTATTCTATAAAATGGCATGTTTTGTTTAGGTATCTTTTTAACTAAAAATTACATGAACATTGAATTTTACCTTTGTTATGGGCATGTAAGTTTTTGAAATGGTAAACCATAGAAAAGAACTTTAACTGCATGATTTAGAGTGACAGCTTTTAGAAAACTTTCCTGCTGTCTAAGGACAGAATTCCCCATGTAATGAAAATACTAAAATGTAAATTTTTTTCCTCCAAGATTTTTTTTTTTTTTTTTGTACAGGCAGAGTGGACAGTGAGAGACAGAGACAGAGAGAAAGGTCTTCCTTTGCCGTTGGTTCACCCTCCAATGGCTGCCGCGGCCGGCGCACCGCGCTGATCCGAAGCCAGGAGCAGGGTGCTTCTCCTGGTCTCCCATGGGGTGCAGGGCCCAAGTACTTGGGCCATCCTCCACTGCACTCCCAGGCCACAGCAGAGAGCTGGCCTGGAAGAGGGGCAACCGGGACAGAATCTGGCGCCCCGACTGGGACTAGAACCCGGTGTGCCGGCGCCGCAAGGTGGAGGATTAGCCTAGTGAGCCGCGGTGCCGGCCCAAGATATTTTTTCATGAGCTCAATATTCCACTAAAGACTATGGTAGAGAGGCAAAATAGAAAGAAACTCTTTTGTCTGTGTTTCTTGTTACATGGGGCTCTACTATTTTTCATCTATTAGAATGCTGTAGAAAGGACTCTTTTATTGGATGGTATCTTTCAATCTTTCTAGTTTCAGGCTTCTGTGATAATTTTCATGTAAAATGTGAGCCTAAGGTGCTACTTACATGTCTATGTCTGATTCATCCTGAATACGCTAGTTAGATAGTGATATAGAATTTCAAATATCTCAGTGAAAGAAATGAAATAAGGGTTTTCTGATTGATTTGTTATATACTTAAACACTATTCTAAAACTAACACTTGGTATGCTACTTGTTTTTTGTAGTTAAGTAGGACTAAGATTATCTGAGCTAAGGCAATTTTAGTTTCTAATACTAGGGACAGAATTCTCCTGATTTCTGTATATAATAATATTTTAAGATTTTTTTTAATTAGCTCAAAATTCACTGAATAATGTAGCTAGAACAAGGAGGATAGAATTGAAGAATAATGTTCTTTCTTTTTTAATTTTAAAGGCAATCATCAAATGCTTAGATGATCGAGGTTTTTTTATTTTACTTACATCATCAGCCTTAATATCAGAATCAGGTAAGGACAAATTTATTTGAAAAAATTTTTTTTACTATGTTTATTCTTGTTTTTTTTTTTTTTTTTTAAGATCAATAACCTAACAATTTCTTCTGATTTTCATTATGTATAGATTTTGGAGGTGAGCAGATAGGTGTAATTGGGTTACATTTAGGCCATTCATCCCTGTCAACAGGTAAGTATCAAGTATCTTGTAGTTCACTTGGTATATTGGATATTTTTCAGTCTTTGTCTGATTTGACTTTGCAGTAGCACATGATAGTTAACTAACTTTTCCTCTTAAATAACTTTCATCCTGTTACCTCTCTGGTTGATCCTCCCTCTCCTTTCCTTTTATTTCTTCCTTTATAGAATGACTTATTTGAAAGAGTAACACAGAGGAAGAGAGAGCGAGCAATCTTCCATATACTTTTTTTTTAAAGATATTATTTATTTGAGAGGTAGAGTTACAGAGAGAGAGAGAAAGAGAGAGTGAGACAGAGAAAGGTCTTCCATCCACTAGTTCACTTCCCAAATGACCGCAGCTGGGCCAATCTGAAGCCAGGAGCCAGAAGCTTCTTCCAGTTTTCTCATGTGGGTGCACGGGCCTAAACACTTGAGCCATCTTCTACTGCTTTCCCAGGCCATAAGAAGAGAGCTGGATTGGAAGAAGAGCAGCTGGAACACAAACTGGTGCCCACATAGAATGCCGGCACCACAGGTGGAAGCTTAGCCTACCATGCCACAGCGCTGGCCCCACAGTCTTCCATATACTGAATCACTCCCCAAATGGTTACAATAGCCAGTCTGAGCCAAGCTGAAACCCTGAGCCAGGAACTCCATTTGGGTCTCTCACATGGGTAGCAGGCTCCCTAGTACCTTGGCTATCGTTTGCTGCTTTTCTAGGAGCATTAGCAGGGAGCTGGATTGGCAATGGAGTACAGTGACTCTAGCCAGCACTCTGATAGTCAGTGGCTTAACCCAGTGTGTTACAGCATCAGCCCCCCAAGTTGATCCTTCTTGGCCTCCTTTGTAGGCTTTCCCTTTCCTCTGAACTTCAGATCTGTGTCTCCAAACTATCCATTGATGTTTTCACTGAGTTACTTCAAAGGTTCCTCAAATTCAGCTTGTTCAAAATTGAACTCATTTGTTATTGAACAACATTTGCTAAAAGATACTTTTACTATGATCTGTTATTTAACTATAACTCAGGGTCTTCATAGATACTATTCTCTCTGTTGGGACTGTTGGTTTCCTTCTTCTCTAGCCCATGTATTCTCAGGGTGATGTTGACTCTTGAAAGGACCAGGGGCTGGTGCCGTGGTGCAGTAGGTTAATCCTCTGCCTGCGGCACTGGCATCCTATATGGGTGCTGGTTCTACTCTCGGCTGGCTGTTCCTCTTCCAATTCAACTTCATGCTATGGCCTGGGAGAGCAGTAGAAGATGGCCCAAGTCCTTGGGCCCCTGCACCCACATGAGAGACCAGAAAAAAGCTCCTGGCTTCTGGCTTTGGATCGGATCAGCTCCAGCTGTTGTGGCCATCTGGGGAGTGAACCAGTGGATGGAAGACCTTTCCCTCTGTCTCTCCCTCTCACTCTCTGTAACTCTACCTCTCAAATAAATAAATAAAATCTTTAAAAAAAAAAAAAAAGAAAAGAAAGGACCAAAACTTAGCTTTTGGGGAAAAATTTTTTACTCATGTAGTACATTAACAAATATGTAATATATATGTGATATTAAAATTACAGAGGCCAATTAGGGGAAAAACTTAAGTCTGAAATAACTCTTGGGGGAGATAATGAATAAAAAGATGGAGAGACTCTAGTCTGCCTTAATTCAGTAGGGGATCTTCAAAAAAATTTATGGAAAGTACATATTATGAAAAAACTATGCATGGATTTCAGTTTTGTTTTTGCACCAAAATAAACTTGGACCGGCCTTTTTATAATGTATCTGGGTCTAGTGTAAGGCACTCAAAAGGATAAGACATCAGTTGAAGAGAAAAATAAGCTTGAATTCTGCAAAAATTAAAATAGCTGGCTGGCGCCACGGCTCACTAGGCTAATCCTCTGCCTGTGGCACTGGCACCCCGGGTTCTAGTCCCAGTCAGGGCGCCAGATTCTGTCCCGGTTGCTCCTCTTCCAGTCTAGCTCTCTGCTGTGGCCCGGGAGTGCAGTGGAGGATGGCCCAGGTTCTTGGGCCCTGCACCGGCATGGGAGACCAGGAGGAAGCACCTGGCTCCTGGCTTCAGATCGGCGCAGCGCAACAGCCACAACATGCCGGCCATAGTGGCCACTTTGGAGGGTGAACCAACGGAAAAAGGAAGACCTTTCTCTCTCTCTCTCACTGTCTGACTCTGCCTGTCAAAACAAAAACAAAAACAAAAACAATGGTCAACATGAAATTTATAGTAAAACGTGCGTGAAAAGGTGATGAAATCATTAATGCTCTACAAAGTTTGTGCAGACAATGGTCCAAAGAAATCAACAATTTACAAATAGATAACTCATTTTAAGAAGGGATGAGGCACTGTTAAAAATGAAGCTCACAACACCAGACAATACACATAACATTGACTAGAAAATACTGCTTTATTGTGAATTGTGTCCTTAATAGTATATAGAGACCTTTTATATTTTATTTTTCCTTTACATGTTACTCTGTTTTAAGTAAGAAACTACAAAGAAGGGTTCATTCTTATTCATGCTTCTTTTCCTATTCTTCTTTTTTTTTTAAAAATATTTATTTATTTATTTGAGAGGTAGAATTATAGACAGTGAGAGGGAAAGACAGAGAGAAAGGTCTTCCTTTCACTCCTCAAATGGTTTGAGGTTCACTCCTCAAATGGCCGCAATGGGCGGAGCTGTGCCGATCCCAAGCCAGAAGCCAGGTGCTACTTCCTGGTCTTTTGTGTGGGTGCAGGGGCCCAAAGCACTTGGACCATCTTCTACTGCTTTCCCAGGCCATAGCAGAGAGCTGAACTGGAAGAGGAGCAGCCGGGACTAGAACCAGCGCCCATATGGGATGCTGGCGCCCCAAGTGGAGGATTAACCTACTGTGCCACGGAGCCGGCCCCCTTTTCTGTTTAATACTTGGTATAGTGCTAATGGTATAGGACTAACTTGGTGTTTTGTAATTCTGCACATACTTTTTCATTAAAAGAAATCGTACAGTTCCTATTTCCATCTACTAGGCATTGGAGGTCTAATTTTTATTTCTTTTGGTAGAACAAGTGGTGAAATTAGCAACAATTACGATGAGATAAGGTTAATAAGGCTGTTTTTTCACTTGGTTTGCTTTTATAACCTGTAAAAAGGTGTTAAAGTGAGTGATGCACAGATAAAATGAGATGTTTTAAAAGCAGAAAAAAAAGTTTGAAAGCACATCTGCCAGCTCCAAAGGCTGGTACTACTGCTTTTAAGGACCATTGAGCTTACACTGAGCTCCTTGTCAGGTGAGATGGAATGGAAAGCAGGGTTTACTCATTCTAGCTAGCAATTGTTTGTCAAATGATTACTTTTTAGTTCAATATGTCTGTTAATTTCAAATAGATGGAGATTCATGAAATGTACCAATAAGTCTTCTTATTGTTGTCATTTAGGTTTTTATTTTTAAACTAGAGTATTTAATCATCCCATCATTTTGAAACCTAAAATACTACTTTCTTGTGTGTTTTGTAAAAAAAATTAAGAATTTTAATATGTGCTTAAATATATTTCAGAGGTGAAAGATTTGAAAGTTGAAGATGACATCTTATTGAAGGTCATACCTATTTTACCTGCCCTTAATTGTGCCCTACTAGAAGCAAAAAAATCACTTCCTGAAGAAGGAATCCATCCAAATACATTAGTAAAACAAAATTTCCAAGAACTGTGTATGGAGGACAGAAGGCCTTCATTGACTGCTGCTCCTCAGGATGGAATTAGAGAGACCGCACTCTTTGGAAAACCGTCAGATGGTTTTGACTTGGTTCCTCCAGCTGAAAAGTGCCCTTTAGAGTCATTAAATCTGTTGAAGTCTTATTTTTCAGATCCTAGTGGTTACATTTTAGAAATATCTACTGCCTTGGATTTGTTAGCAGAGGATTCTCAGTCTACTTGTATTTCAGATGGAATTTGTGATGCTGGATTTTCTTTAGTTATGACTCCAGATCCTGAATTTCTTGACTCAGAGGCAGAAGTAAGAAAAGACAATGAAACAGAAAATAATTCTAAAGAAAGACTGAAAGCAAAGCAGGGAACTGTGGTTCCACTGAGTCCAGTATCAAATCTGAGAGTGCAGCCCAAGAGAAAGGCCAGCATGCTTCCTGTGGTACCAAGTAAAAGGGTGAATTTGTGCTGCCCCTTTCCTAAAAGAAGTGTGCTTGGAGCAGGCAGTGGTTCACAGTCACCAACTACTCTTAAGTTGGTTAAAGGACAGTTTCCTCAGAAAAGAAAAAGAGGTAAGCACCATGTATGTGGATTATTATAATAATCACTATTTTATTCAAACCCTATTCTTGTCTGAATTCATGTGGACTGCAGTTTTGCAGCATGCTAGAAGTTTGTTAGAAACACAAGCATTTCTCTCCACCTGACTTACTTGTATGCTAAAGCTTGAGAAACACTGATCTAAGTAATAGCTAAAAACCAAGAAATAGGAAAAACTAATATATCTTAAAAGTTTACCCACCAAAAACATATGTTTTACCTGTAACTCAAACTATATTTACTTTATATTCTAAGAAAGGTGATCATTCAATTTCTGTACCATCTTCAGACAGATGGAGTTGGTAGTAAAAGATCTTCTAAAATCTGGTACACCACTAGCAACAAAAAATGATAGCTGACAGTCTAAACACTGAAAACTAAAGCAGGCCGGTGCCTCGGCTCACTAGGCTAATCCTCTGCTTTACAGTGCCGGTACACCGGGTTCTAGTCCTGGTCAGGGTGCCGGATTCTGTCCCGGTTGCCCCTCTTCCAGGCCAGCTCTCTGCTCTGGCCCGGGAAGGCAGTGGAAGATGGCCCAAGTGCTTGGGCTCTGCAGCCCATGGGAGACCAGGATAAGTACCTGGCTCCTGCCTTCGGATCAGCGTGGTGCACCGGCCATTGGAGGGTGAACCAACGGCAAAGGAAGACCTTTCTGTCTCTCTCTCACTGTCCACTCTGCCTGTCCAAAAAAAAAAAAAAAAAAAAAAACAAGAAACACAAAACCAACAACAAACTAAAGCAGTTTCTATTCCATTGTGTAACAGTTACAGAGTTCTTTTTGTGTTTTTTTAAAAGATTTGTTTATTTGACTTTTTAAAGGATTTTTTTAAAAAATTCATTTGAAAAGCAGAGTTACAGGCTGATGCCAGGAGCTAGGAACAACTGCTTCATGGCCCAGCAGTATTTTCTGCTGCTTTCCCCAGATTATTATTATTTTTTTTTTTTTAAAGATTTTTTTTTTTTTTTTTTTTTTTTTTTATTTTGACAGGCAGAGTGGACAGTGAGAGAGAGAGACAGAGAGAGAAAGGTCTTCCTTTTGCCGCTGGTTCACCCTCCAATGGCCGCCGCTGCAGCCGGCGCACCGCGCTGATCCTGGCAGGAGCCAGGAGCCAGGTGCTTTTCCTGGTCTCCCATGGGGTGCAGGGCCCAAGCACCTGGGCCATCCTCCACTGCACTCCCTGGCCATAGCAGAGAGCTGGCCTGGAAGAGGGGCAACCGGGACAGAATCCGGCGCCCCAACCGGGACTAGAACCCGGTGTGCCGGCGCCGCAAGGTGGAGGATTAGCCTATTGAGCCACGGCGCCGGCTCTCCCCAGATTATTAGCAGGGAGTGGAATCAGAAGTAGAGCATCCAGGACTTGAACCTGTGCCCATTTGGGATGCTTGCATTGCAAGCAGTGGCGTGACCCACTGCACCAAAGCGCTAGCCCCGTAACAGAGTTCTTAAAGTGATTACTTGGATCCTATGACATACGTACTTAGATGAAATGTGCAGTGGCCTGGAAACATACTGAAAAAGTCCCACAAGTGATTTTGATGCCCCTTGAAAATTGAGAGTCACAGTCTAGAGCCATTTAGTATATTGACAAATGCACTTTAGTGCACAGCAGACCATAACTAGGTTGGATTCATCTCGAATTATATTTAGTATATTTCCTCGAAAGGAGTAGAGAATCACATGCTATGTAACTTCCTAATAAAATTGTCAGCACACTATAGCCAAAGTACCACTCTGTCATTCTGTGTGCTGTCTACTCATGCTTCAGTGGCAGAGGTAAGCAGTTGTGACAGAGAGCTGAAAATGTATACTCTTGGCACTTCATGGAGTAATTTTGCTAACACCATCTATAATGTTTTGAATATGAGATTGTTGGTGCCCAAGGAATTACCATCTGGGATAACTGTATGATTCCCATTAATTAAAGTTCTGCACAGTGGCTTAACAAATAGTGATTTCTGGCCGCCTGTTATGATTTGAATAGTGGTATGGATGCATGTGTATCAGGAGAGTTATAGAAAGTATGGCAGTGTAAAGCATTGGGTTATATTGTACCCCTGCTGTAAATATATTTCAGGCCAACATACTGAGTTTTTACTCTGTGTGAACTAATTTGCTTTAAAATATTAATAGATTATGTGTAACTCAATATACACTGTTCCTTTTTCTCAGATGTTTTTAATTATATCTACTGTATGAAATATATATCCACAAATTTATGTATGACTGAAACAAAAATTTCAAAAAAACATTTACTCTATGTAATATAATTTGCTAATTTCTATTCTGTTTTTATATAATTTGAGAAAGAATCCTAGTTGTGACATATCAAATTTACTTTATAGCTCAACGTGGATTATTACTTGCAATTTGAGAAACATGTCATTGAGCAATAAGTATAAGCAGAATAATCCCATCAGATTACCTTGTTATTTCACTTTTGTTTTTTTCCCCAGTACCTGGGTTTCTGAATTGTCTTCCCTTCCTGTATATGCAAATATTAGAAATGTTTCCTCCTATGTTTTGGTTGTCTAATCTTTCTTTTTAATTTAACTGTTTTCCTGCTTAATTTATATTTTGCCTCATTTTAGAAAGTACAACTGGAATGGAATGAGAAATCTGATTCTTAAAAAAACCTATATGCTGATTTATTTCATATAATAGCTTAGTACAGAGAATATTAATTAGACCGAGGGAAATGTACAACATTAAGAGATTCTGAAAGCTTTTCTAAAAACTATTTCTTTCTCTGATTCCCGATAGATTAAGTGAAATAGTTTCTTTTCCCCCCTACATTTCACTAACACTCATCATAGTTTTTTAAACTACTTAATATCATATTTAGTGTTCTCAGTGAGAAATAATGTATTAACCCTTTAAGAGTATACTATAAGCAGATAGTATTGTTTGCACCCTTCCTACTTCTACCTTTAGCCATTTTCTTCCATATGAAATGCAAAGCAGAGCATTTTGTAAAAGAGATATTTTTGTAAGATAGTATATTTGTAGGAAATGAAACCAGGTGCAGACTTTGTTCAATTATCCCATCTTTTCTGAAAACATTATTTTTCATAAAGTATTAAAACTTCGATTTATTTATTTGAAAGGCAGAGTTACAGAGTGGCAGAGAGAGGTCTTCCATCCACTGATTCACTCCCCCAATGGCTGCAATGGCCGGAGCTGCACCAATCCAAAGCCAGGAGCCAGGAGCTACTTCTGCATCTCTCACGCGGTTGCAGGGGCCAAAGAACTTAGGCCATCTTCTACTGCTTTCCCAGGCCATAGCAGAGAGCTGGATCCAAAAAAAAAAAAGCTGGCGCCACAGCTCACTTAGCTAATCCTCTGCCTGCGGCGCCGGCACCCTGGGTTCTAGTCCTGGTTGGGGCGCTAGATTATGTCCCCATTGCTCCTCTTCCAGTCCAGCTCTCTGCCATGGCCCGGGAGGGCAGTGGAGGATAGCCCAAGTGCTTGGGTCCCTGCACTCGCATGAGAGACCAGGAGGAAGCGCCTGGCTCCTGGCTTCAGATCGGCGCAGGGCGTCGGCCGTAGTAACCATTTGGGGGGTGAACCAACGGAAAAGGAAAAAGCTATACAGATAATATCTGAATCCCTACCCCTTTAAAAATGGCATCTTTTTCTACATCAGGTGCGGAAGTGTTGACAGCACAATTTGTACAGAAAACCAAATTGAATAGGAAGAACCAAGAAGCTCCTATTTCTAAAGATGTTCCAGTGTCAACAAATGCTAAAAGGGCAAGGAAACAAGAAAAATCTCCAGTCAAAACTGTTTTAAGAAATAAAACATCTATGAAGAAATCTCTTCACAAACAGAGGGTAAATATAGTAAAAGGTTACCAGAATCCCAGAATCAGAAAGCAGCCACAATCTGGTAAGAAATATTCTTCCTGTGAATGTAAATACCACAATACAGATGTAATAAAGATTACAAGATAATATATTGAAATAATATACAAGCAGTTGAAATTTACCAATAATTCTTCTATAATCTTTAGTTCAGACACTAACATGAATAAGGCACTTGGTTGCAATGATTTTAGCCTTCTCAAATTAGATTCTACTTTTTACTTTGCATAAAGCCTGAACCCGATTTGAATTGTCTACAGTTAAGATATAAATAGCCTTATTTATGTAAATGTATAAGCAAGTAACATCTGGCACTATTTTTCTAGACCATAATCAGTTTCAAAAATAGGTTATAAGTTTGCCGAAAAGGAATTATAAACAGATTAATCCAAAATCCTGTATTTGGTTTAAAATGCATTAATTTAAAAAGTTATTTTAGTTTTCTATTTTTTCTTTACTGAATGATAAAATTTCATTATATGAACCACTGAGAACTCCTGTTCTGTATTTCCAGTTGCTCACTAGATAGAAACTTTTTTTAAAAGATTGATTTATTTATTAGAGGCAGAATTACAGAGAGTGAGGGAGAGACAGACAGATAGATGTACTATCTGCTGGTTCACTCCCTAAATGACCGCAATGGTCCCCAGCCAAAACCAGGAGCTTAATCCATACTCAGGTACTCCCATATGGTTGTGGGTGTCCCAAGCAGTATCTTAACCGTTGGATCAAATTCGGCTCCTACTATTATTGACATGTTCTTTCCCTTTTGCTTGGTCAGTGAGTCCTCATGTGGATCATGTGTACTTTCATGGTTATGCAATTCTTCTCCATCTAGGTTCTGCGCTGCTAAATTCTACTTCCATAAGGAGGCACTGCCTCATGGTTTGACCGTCACTGATCTCTATCTCCTTTTAGGTTTTTGAAACCATTGTAGAATTTAAATTGTACTATTTTCTAACGATTTGATGTATCTTGATCCTATTTTTCCAGTTAGCTTGTAAATATGAAAACAAGGACCAGTGTTGTGATGCATCAGGTTAAGCTGTCACTTGTGACGTCTGCATCCCATATTGGGATGCCATTTCGACTCCCTGCTGCCCTGTTTCTGATCCCGCTCCCTGCTTATTTGCCTGGAAAAGCATCAGAGGATAGCCAAAGTACTTGGGCCCCTGCCACCCAAGAAGGAAACCCAGATGGGGTTCCAGACTCCTGGCTTCAGCTTGACCATGCCTCGGCTGTTGTGGCCATTTGGGGAGTGAATTAGCAGATGGAAGATACATCTTTCTCTCTCCCTTCTTCTTTCTCAACTCTTGCATTCTGCCCCTCTCTGTTTCTCTGCCTTTCAAATGCAAAAAAATTATGTAAATAGATATATTCTTGGGAGTATCACTTGAATTCTTTGTACTGAACTGGCTTTCAGATATATTGATTGATGGGAGGTAGTATACAATTGGATATTGCAGAATAGTGAGGCCAGAAAAAGTTTTCAGATTGTATGTTCAAAAATAGGCTAATTTGTAATGCTTATATCTGTAAGTATTGTGCAGACACATTTCAAGTTAAAATTTCAAGGTAATCTCTTACTTTTTCTTCCATTTCTTAATCATTTATACTAATTTCTTTCAGTTATTGAAGTATTAGAGTTTAATAAGGCAGATGGAACATAGCCATGTTAGCCTCAGTTTGAAAATTACTGATTTAAATATTTTATCAGACTCAAAGAAGAATTGTTTAAGTCAATCATTTTGTTACTGAAACTAATGACTTTCTCTTCTTAGAGTTTTTAATAGTTTTTTATTCACTGAACTCTAGATTTTTTATACAGTTCACTCATGTTGTCTTCATATCTATATGTCTTAAATAGAAATTATCACTGTTGTATTTTAAACTGTGAACCTAAAACAAAGCCATAATAGATTTATGTGACACTATATCTATTAAATTATACCATTTTTCTTCAATGATATTTGTTATATAGGCTTTACTTATAAGTGATACATTTAAGAGATGATATAGGAATATATGTATGTATATATATATATGCCATAATGTTATTAAATATAGGATGAAGAAAGTATCAGTAAATGATCAAATCACAAAATACATGTTTTCAATATACCCATGAGACTAAAAAGATAATTTTGAGCTTTAGATTCCTTTCTTCTACCTACCTCCCTTGGATTTTGCTATTTTAAATAAAAACTGGGCACTGATAGATTAATTTTACACTCTTTCCCATGTACACCCTCCTAATTCTATTAAGTGCTTTCATAGCAGGTTGTTAATTCATTTCAAACCTGCTACTATTTAATTTTGTAAAGGAACACAGTTGGTTTTGCTGTCAATCCAGTGATCTACAACAGGGATTTGCTATTTAGTATAGTTGTAAACTTTATCCTTCATAATGCTAGCATTTAAGGAGTAATAATTAATGTTCTGAGAATACCTAAGCAAATCACAGGAGAATATAAATTTTCTAATGAAAGACAAATGGATAGATTTGATTGTCTACGGAAAAGAAGGCTATCAGTAGATTTGCTCTTTTGCAAATAAAGGGGAATGTGTTTTCAGTACTGAAAATAAAATTGTAGAAGGTGATGAAATTAGTGACTCTGAATAAGGGCAAATCTATAAGGGTCATGACTTAATTTTTTATTCATATCATTATTCCTATACCTTACAATTAAAATCAGTTTATTTTCTTTTGAAGATTTATTTTATTTATTTGAATGACAGTATTACAGAGAGAGAGGTCCTCCATCCACTGGTTCAAATGGCCACAATGGCCAGAGCTGAGCCAATCTGAAGCTAGGAGCCAAGAGCTTCTTTAGGGTGCAGGGGCCCTCCACTGCTTTACCAGGCATTAGCAGGGAGCTGGATCAGAAGTAGAGCAGCCAGGACTTGAACTGGAGCTCATATGGGGTGCTGGTGCTGCATCCAGGACTTTAACCCACTGTGCCACAGCGCCAGCTCCTAAAATCATTTTTCTTTCCTTTTGATTGATTTATTTATTTGAAAGGCAGAGTTACAGAGAGGCAGAGGCAGAGAGAGAGAGAGGTCTTTCACCCTCTGGTTCACTCCCCAGATGGCCACAACAGCTGGAACTGTGCTGATCTGAAGCCAGGAGCCAGGAGCTTCTTCCAGGTCTCCCACGTGCGTGCAGGGACCCAAAGACTTGGGCCATCTTCCACTGCTTTCCCAGGCCATAGCAGAGAGCTGGATCAGAAGTGGAGCAGCCAGGACTTCAGCCGGTGCCCATATGGGATTCTGGCACTGCAGGCAGCGGCTCAACTCGCTACGCCACAGCACCAGCCCCATCCCTAAAATCATTTTTAAAAAAATCTATTTGAACATTGGTGGTTTCTCAAGAAGTTTTGAAGGGGACATGGTTCTGAGAAAGACTATAATATGTACTTCAAAATTCTATATAAAGTTTTTAAAAAATTTATTTTTTTATTTACTTGAAAGAGTTACAGAGCAAGGGAGAGACATACAAGATATTCCATGGACTGGTTCACTTCCCAGATGGGTACAGTGGCAAGATTGTAGCCCAGAGCTTCACTTGTGTCTTCCTGGTGGGGGCAGAAGGGGCCAAATACTTAGGCCATCTTCTGCTGTTTTTCCCAGTTGATTAGCAGGGAGCTAGATCAGAAGTGGAGTAGCCAAGACACCAATTGGCACCCATGTGGGATGCTGGCATCACAGGCAATGGCTTTACCTGTTATGCTACAATGTCTACCCCTCAAACTTTCTATATTCTTTTCCCTCCCTCCCTCCCTTCATTCCCTTTTTTTGGATTTATTTATTTGAAAGAGTTACAGAGAAAATTGATCTTTCATCCCCTAGTTCAGTCCCCAGATGGGCATAATGATGGTGGCTGGACCAGGCCAAAGCTGATGGCTTCTTCCAGGTTTCCCATGTGAGTGGCAGGGACCCAACGACTTGGGCCATCTTCACTGATTTCTTAGGCCTTTAGCAGAGAGCTGGATCGGAAGTGAAACAATCAGGACTTGAACTGGTGCCGATATGCGTTGGCTGCATCACAGGCAGTAGTTTTACCTGCTATATCACAATGCCAGCCCCAAACTTCTGTATTTTTAAGTCCCAACTAGATTGTAAGCTCTCCAAGGCAGGTCTCATTTCTATTTTCCATTTGTTTTATTTCTTTTTTTATATTTCTTAAGCTAACATATAGTCCAGTAAGTGCATTTTTCCTGTTAAATTAATGAATATACTTAGGATTTGTTCCTTTGGTTGATGCGCCATAATTGCTCTGAGGTTTGGAAGAGATGGTGAAATTTTAATATGTAATCTGTGTAACTTATCTTGAATATGTTGACTTAACCATTAATTTTTGCTAAGGCATAGTAATATGGCAGAGAATTCTATGAAAAGCAAACATTATATTGTCTTTTTTTCTTTTCTTTTCATATGGAAGCCAAAGGAGAAACTATTTCACAGCTTGAATCACAAGTTTCATCAGATGGCCCAAAAGATGCTATTAATGTAAATACAGTTCAACCAGAAAATACCACGGTGGATCAGAAAGATCTTACTGAAAACTCCATTATGAACTATGATTCCCAGGCCCTAAATATGTTAGCTGACCTAGCATTACGATCTGCTACTTCTTCCACTCCATCAGCTGAGCCTAGAAACCTTCCCTGCACTGAATTGTTACAAAATGATGTTGTGCTCCCTAAAGAAAGTACTTTGCGAGGTACATCTGACCATGAATATCATAGGGGAATTAAAAGTCAGAAAGGTGGACTATTAGTTAAGCCATCCTCTGATAAGAAGAGTAATTCAGGGTCAGACTTAACTGTCAGCCAAGATGAAGAGAACTTGGTTTCTTGTAGTCAGGCCCCTGCTAAAGTCCAGTCAGCACTTACTGTGGAAACGTCAGCCCCTTCAGATGCAAGCCAAAACACTTTTGTTGCTGTGGAACATTCATATGCCCTACTCCTTGCAGAACACTCCAAGAAATATCTACACCAGAGAGGGATACCAGGTCCTGCCTTTGCCAAGAATGGGACAAAAGGCCCTGATGCAGGAACCCCAGTGGGAAAAGTCATGCCTTTTCGGCATCAGCAAAACATCTCCCCACTACAAAAGCTTTCTGAGGATCCACTGATAAAGCGCAAGAGCCGATTGATGTCTTCCAATCTTAAAAATGTTTATTACTCTCATAACGTATTTAGCTGTGATGGCTCCTTGAAGGTCACATTCAAATGTGAAGCAGAATATGCATTCAGCTTAGATAGCAAATATACAAATAATCCACTAGAAAAAACTGTTGTAAGAGCATTACATGGGTAAGTATGAGTGAAATATAATGCAAATGATGTAACTTTTCTGTTGAGATTAGTGTACTGAGACAAGAAACCTGTGAGAGACTTTGAGGAAAAAGAAGTGTTAGTGTTATGTTGTGTGTGAAAGTAGTTTGGTAGTGTGAGATAGAGATTATGTTTTACACTTAAGTTCATGAGGAAATATTCAAAACATTGGTCAGAGTAATAGGAACTGAGTGGTTTTATTTAGGGTTGTTCTATTAATCTTCCTTAAGAAGGGATTAAAGCAATAATAATAGGGTAGTTAACAGCCAGGCTTTGCAGTTTAGACCAATCTAGGTTTGAATCTAGGCTCTTCCAGTTTTATCACCTCTGTACTGTGGGCAAGTTATCTGCTTCTGGACAGTGCTTTTCAGTCTTCATTGTGTATGTGTATCATCCAAGGATTTCACTGAACTGCAGATTCTGGTGTAGTCTGTTTGGGATGAGGTCAAGAATCTACATTTCTAACAAATTTCCAGGTGATGTCAATGGAGGATGACAGTCTATGGGCAACACTCTTAAGAGTATGGGTTTCATAATGGTTATATCCTGAGGTGATTACATATATTAGGGTTTTGCACAGTGATTGGCCCATGACTGTTGGCAGTTAGCATTAGCTATATGGAATGACCCAATGGAATTTACAGTTAGATTTCTTCCCTTGCACCTATTCACATATACTTACATTCACATATATACTTAACCTTATAAGAATCATTTCCTTAGCTTTAATCCTGTTTAACTGCAGCCTAACAATGCAGCTTCCCTAAATCATTCCCACTCTATCTGCTTGCTTTAACCATTCAGAGGCAAGAAATGTTTTATATGTCATTTTGTAGTTTTGTGATATTAACTGTAATCTAAAACAGTATATACAATTCTGCTAAATTGCCCAGATATTCTAATTTTTAGACTTTTTCAATGATTAGAAGACAAAAATAAGAAGTATTTTCTATTTGTGTTATAGTAAATTAGCAAGAATTAGGAAAACCAAGGCAATAAGGATTTGGGTAGTTGCTTTGAAAGCATTATTCATATCTTAAGTATATCATGTCCAGCAAAAGTTTGTGTTACAGAAAAGCAAATGCTGGTCTAGGATTTGGGAGATCCATGTTCAGACGATGGTGATACAGGTTTCACGGTCTGAAAGAAGTCACCTACATGTTTTGATTTCAATTCTATTCTCTGTAAATGAGTGGGTTAGAGTTATTTGCAAATTTCATATTCATGTTTAAATTTTAAAATAAAAATGCAAAACTGAAGTTAATAGTAGAGACTTTTATGATAAGCAACCAAAAGAACTATTTTTAGTGATTTTTGTGTGTTTCTTTAAAATCTCAGGCCCTGGAACACTGATTTGCCTGATAATGTGGAGGAAGTGAAGCTTTTACTGCATATGTGGGTAGCTCTGTTTTATAGCAATCAGAACAAAGTCATAAGATCATCCCGAAAAGTGGTAGAACACAGCAACCCAGCAAAATATGTGTCTATAAATAGTACATTAGAATCTTTTGAACTCAGTGAAATTGAGGAGTTCCCCAAAGTGGAAAGATGTTCTGCAGACCCTCTTTTGGAAACAAAAGAAACTTCCAAAGGTTATGCTACTGAAGTATCCTTCCCTGACCATAACTGCTTGCTTCCTTTCATTAAATCACCTCCTGTCAAAGGCTTGGAACTCTGTGTACAGAATGAACAGAAAGAAATTTTTGCAGGAAAGTGTCATCTAGATACTTCAGAAAGCCAGAATTTCATCTATTCGTGCAATAGTGAGGTAAGACTGAATACTGTAAATGCTGGCATTACTTTTGCAGACATTTTCAGTTTTTTGTATATAAAGTCACATTCAAAACAAGGTATTGTTTACTTCAGAAAGGTGAATTCTTTAGGTATACAAGGATTATTGGACCAAAAACTTGATTTTCTTTAAGTGTCACTCAGTTCTCTGCAGGTGGATCTTATCTGTCATCCTGATGGAAATAAACAGTAGGAAAAAATCATAGGTTAAATATTTTGGAAGCTCACCATAATTGTGTTATTAGTTTTATCATTTGGAACAGATTGTTTATTCTCTCTCAACTTATTTTCTAAATTTTTTAAAAAAGATATATTTATTTGAAAGGCAGAGTGACAGGGAGGGAGAAATAGATCTGTATGCTGGTTCACTTCCCAAACTGATGCAACAACAAGGTCTGGATCAGGCTTAAGCCAGGAGCCAGGAACTCTACTGTTTTTAACTGATTTTCAGCCACACCAGATAATCCAGATATTAACTGCAACAAGTCAAAAAGTTGTAACAAAATTCTAAGTAAATGAATTGACAAAATGCCTATCATTTTATGCTTTCAGTATGGATTTATTCTAGAATAAATTAGCATGGATTTAGATAGCACCTATGATGCCTGTCTTAACATTGGGTAAGCAATAATTCTAAACCTGGGGTTACTCATTCCATTTATGAGCCTTAGAGGGCTTGCAAAATGAGCAGGATCATTATCAAAGTTAAGATTTCGGGAGCATACATGCCAGATGGTGTCCTAAGCCCTTTAATAACAGTAACTCAATTCTCAAACCAATGAGGTAAGGACTGTTATTCTCCACATTCTGTAGATAAGCAAACTGTGGCATAGAGAAGCAAGGAAATTGTTGAAAATCATGCAGTAAATTCTCAAGACTCAAATCTAGGCAGCTTAGATGTTTGTCAATGTCAGATTCAGTGTATGTGGGTACATATATAAGGAGTCTTCAAAAATTCATGGAGAGAGCATTTTTTGAAAGAACTATACATGAATTTTAATTGTTTTTGCACCAAAATAAACTTTTCTCATTTTTGAAGTACCTCTGTAAAGATGCATATTTTTGTGTTTATGTATATTGTAGTCATATATGTGCTTTTTCCCCCCGAAGATGGAGTTCAGAAAGTTCATCTGATTGTTTAAAAGGTACATAAAAAACAATTAAGAATTACCACCTTAGCATAAGAAAATGTAATTTAGTCAGGCAAATTTTGATTACTATCCAAATAAATACTTCTTATATATATATATATATTATATGATTTATTTATTTATTTGAAAGAGTTAGAGTGAGCTTCCATCCACCAGTTTACTCCTCAGATGGCTGCTACTGCCACGGTTGGACCAGCCTGAAGCCAGAAGCTTTATCTGGGTCTCCCAATGGATGGCAGGGGTCAAACATTTGAGCCATTTTCTGCTGCTTTTCCCAGGCCATTGGCAGGGAGCTGGATTGGAAGTGGAACAGCTGGGACACTAATCAATGCCTGTATAGGATACTAGTGTTACAGATGGCAGCTGTTTTTTGCAGATGGCATTGCCCCATACACGTAATAGTTTCTTAAAGTACCTTTTGGGGGCTGGTGCTGTGGCTTAGCAGGTAAAGCCACCATCTGCGGTGTCGGCATCCCATATGGCTGCTGGTTCGAGTCCCAGTTGCTGTACTTACAATTCAGCCCTCTGCTGTGGCCTTGAGAAAGCAGTGGAAAATGGCGCAAGTCCTTGTGCCCTTGCACCCATATGGAAGACCTCAAGGAAGCTCTTGGCTCCTAGCTTCGGATTGGCACAACTGTGGCCATTGCGACCATCTGGAGAGTGAACCAGCAGGTGGAAGACCTCTCTCTTTCTCCCTGCCGCTGTTTCTCTGTAACTCTGCCTTTCAAATAAATAAATTTTAAAAACAGTACCTTTTGCTTCTTGTAATATTTAATGGTAATGTAACTACCTATCATCATACTATTCTTAGGAATGATTTTTGGCAAACATGAAAATACAGCATAAAGAACTATAAAATGGAATATTAAAATTAGTGATTACTAACAATCTTTCTAGCATTTATACAGGTCAAGTCTGACCCAAAGTGCTTAGGACAAGTGTTGCAGATTTTGGATATTTGTGTAGACTTCACCAGTTAAGCATCCCTAATGTAAAATCTAAAATGCTGTACAATTCAAAAATTTGAATTCAGTACCCAAAGTATTTCAGTTTGGATTCAGATTAGTAATGCTCACTCTATAGTTGAAAGTTTTTCCATCATCTTTTAGTTATAGTGCCTGCAGTTGAAAAGATGCACAGATTTGTTGTATATGCCATTCACTTCCTCAACAAGTGATCACCTTGGGATATGAAGGGGGTTCCAGACAGGTACCAGAAATCAGTGGCATTTTGTTGTACTCATATGCTGAATTGAGTTCTTTATAATATTAGACTTTATTTTAGAAATATCACACTGTATCTGAAGTAAAAAATAGATCCAGGCAGGCATTTGACCTGTTGGTAAGCTGCCACTTGGAAAGCCCACATACATATCAAAGATCCTGAGCTTGAGTACTGCCTCCACTCCCAGTTCAAACTTAATATACATCCTGGGAGGCAGCAGGTAATGGCTCAAGTAGTTGAGTTCCTTCTACCCTACCCACATGGTTTGAGTTTCCAGCTCCTGGTTTCAGCTTGACCTAGGTCTGGCCGTTGTAGGCATTTGAGAAATGAACCAGTGCATAGGAGCTCACTTGCTCTCTCTGCCCCCCCCCCATAAATAAGTAAATACATTTAAAAATAATTTTTAAATATAAATATATCACGATTGTCATGTTGGCATTTCACTAAGACCATGAGGTGGCCAAATATTATCAGCCATAGCTGGGTTGGGGGAATAGCACAGGAATATTCTCAGAAAAATTCCTGCCATCAAGACTTTTCTAATGTTTTGTCTACATAAAACCTCATCTCAGGCCCACCCTGCTGCCTAATTAAGTTAATGTTTCTTTGGTTAAGACAGAAAGGGTTTTAGAGAGATTTGAGGCTAATGTGCACCCTGGGAGGCAATGAATGATGGTTCAAGTGCTTGGGTCCTTACCACCCATATGGGAGACCCAGATGGAGTTCCTGGCTCCTACCCTGCCCAGCCCTAGCTGTTGTAGACATTTGGGAATGAACCAGTAGATGGATGATCGCTCTTGCTCTGTCACTGTGCCTTTCAAATAAATAAAAGTAAACTTTTTTTAAAAAAAGATAGAGATTTGAAACCCAGATCCTGACTTGCCAGCATGCTTCAAGATACAGTAGGTAATCTGTAAGCATAAAATTCCAAACATTAGAGGCATAATCTGTGTAATCTCCCCATTTTACCATATTCTGGAAAAGACAATACTTGAGACTTTCAACAAAACAAAACAGCCTGTCCATAAGGTTATTAGAATTGTCCTCCGGTAGTTCTGCCAATATTTAACCTATCTTGTTATTGTTTAATCCAGTCCCTTTATTTTAGGAATGCAAACCACATTGATAAGTTTTCTGTTGATCTGTGGAATAAGAAGTATTAAAACAAGAAAGAATTCTGTCCAGTTTTAAGTAAAAAGGATAGCTATGGGAGAAGGGACCTTAATTTATCTGAATTATTGTATTCTCAGTTGTAGTTAATTTATAGTGTTGCCTCATGGGACAGTTTGAAATGATGGTGTATTTATAGTCTTAACTCATTTATTTGATTTTTTTTATCATTTCAGGTAATTGGGGAAAAAACTAAACAAGAATCATCAGCTAAATCGGAGACTTCTAAACTTATGCTTTCTGATATTGGAAATGCCCAAATTAATGGACTTTCTGTTCCTAGTAAAGATAAAACCTTTCAGCAACTTGATAGCACAACATTGGTTCCTTACAATGATACTGTCACACAAGTCCCATTCACCACAACTTACAGTGAGACCAGCAATCAGTCAGTGATGTGTCAAAAGTCTGTGTGCAGCACCCTTGAAAGCAAAGTTGATATTTTTCATGCACAAATGCAAACAAACACAGGTGCTTTACAGGACCATATCCATCGTAGAAGCCCCATAAGCAATGAATGGCAGCCTTCCTTGGAGAGGACAGATGATACGGGGTATGTAATGATTAATCTGGAACCGGTTACTCTTACATTTGACAAAAATGCCTATGTACCAGTACAGACAGAAGTTGTAAATAGAGGTGATAAACCAGTTACCTTTAATACAGAGTTGATTAAGCAAGTATCACCTACTACAAGTATTGGACATCCTGTATCCACAGTAGAGAAGTCACAAATACAAAGTCTTGGGGGCATTCCACCTCTAGCAATGTCAGGACAGAAAGGTGCTAATTACCTTTCTGCCTCTTTAGTAACTAATGGAACACTTGCTGAAGAAACATATTCCTTACAGAAAGAGATACCTCTTACAATCTCATCACCATCTGATAATGCAGTGGTAATGAAGACGTTGTTAGGTAAAGGTTCTAGTTATCCATTAGCTGATGATAAAATGAAACAGTCTCAAGAACTTTTTATGCAGACTCAGAATCTCTTTAGCATATGTTCAGAAGAGATAGTAGAGCCATCACAGGTTGAAGTAGTCTCACCATCAGCCTCTATCACCTTGGAGAAAAAGTATTCACTTAACTGCATTCCATCAAAAATCAATACATCAGATGACTCTTTTGAACTAAGAAAGAATGACAAGAGTGGTATAAACAATGAAAATATGCATTTTGAATCATTTAATTCAATATTTGCCACTAAACAAACCAGCCTGTCTCCAAATAGAGAAGAAGTTAGTGTAGAGTTATCAGAGGAGGATTCTGATATTGACTTAACTCTAACAATATCTCCACCTTCAAGTCCCAGAAAAGAAATGCCATCTGATGAAAATGAGCAACTTGAGGATGTCCCATTATCAAATATAGAACTTCAGGATGTAGTTGAAGAAATAGCTGAGCCAGAAGAGGTGACCCTCATGGAAAACAGACCAGTGAATTCAGTGTATCCTGCAATGTCAAAAAAACTATTAGAAAATAAAGAGAAGAAAAGTGATAATTTACAACCAGTTACTTTAATACTTTCTAAAGAAAATTGTACCCTTGAAATTGCAGAGGAAGTTATTACCTCTGACTTTCGCTTTGATTCTCTTATTGAGGAAGTGTCACCAGCTTCTAGTCCTGACCCTCCAGTATCAATTGAAGAAACACGACCAACTCAGACTGTGTCACCATGTAGTTTAATACTTTATGGTACACAGTGTGAGAAAAGTAACAAATTCTCCCAGATTGTGTCAGGAGATTTAGCCATAACAGAAAAAGAAAATTCTTTAATTGGGCCTAACTATACTGAAAGACAAGGTAATTTCACTCAGGTACAACAAATTCAACTGTCTGCTGATACTCCTCAAGCATTAAACAATCATCCAGGAAGAAAAGATAGACTAGCACTTCCTGGTAAAGTAACAGAGGAAATTGTCCCAACTGAGCAAGATGAGGGTTTATCTTTCTCAGAGGAGGTACAGTGCTATGATACAAAGTTAAACCAGCCTGCCTCAACTGGCCAAAATGAAGGTAATGTCAAGCCTTCCCTTGAAAAACTGGTAAAATCGGGAAATTCATTGCAACCAATTAGCATAGAGAACAGACATTTGGACTTAAAACATCTTGTCTTGGAGTCCAGTGAACCTCCATTTAGTCCTAGAAAGATTAATGAAAATAAGTCTTTGGCTGACACATTAGTTTCTACAGCTACTCTAAGTGATATAATGAATATGCCAATAAAACAGCAGACTAGCCCTAAAAGCATTAAGAAAAATTTCTTTCACAGTGATTTGAAAACAGAGTATGGCAGTTCAAGTAAGGCCAATCTGTTGAACTCTGACTCCATTGATGGAACTGATGCTGTGCACCTAGAGATCCCAAAGCTTGGTCCTCCCTCTGATGGTACTACATTAACTCACTATGCATTACCAGTTAGTGTAGAGCCAGGGTTTCGAACACAGGAAATATCTGTAGTCAGAATGGCCAGTTTGCTTAATAGTGAAACTGAAGCTGAGTTACATGAAGAAAACACAGATCTACATGTTGCCAGCCCTCAGTCTGACAGCACATCCACAAAAAATGAACAAAAAATCTGCATGCTGCAGAATACATCATGGGAAACAAAAGAGCTGTTGAATGGTGAACTTTTCCCCAAAGATGCTGGTCCTTACCAAAAAACAGCAGATACCAGTAAAGATATCAATAAAGAGCCTTCTGCTTTCTCTATTCCAAAATCCTTTGACTCTCTTGTTTGTGAAATCTCTAAAGAGCATGTGGAAAGTAACAGCACTACTGAGGGGTGCAGGGCTGAGGCTGATTCTGAAACCCTAGACAGAGACAGACAGAGCAGTGTGAATTCTGACATATACTATGAGGCACTTTCTGAAGACCATGATGAATTAGATGTGGAGGATTCTTACACTTTGAGTGGTAGTCATACCAGGAAAAAAGATGCTACAAAAGGTGGTTTTGACACTTTTATGAAGGTAAACAATAATGATAATGAAGGTTGGAGCTACTTTAACAAAGTTCCAGAGCTGGAAACCAGCATTCCACCCAGAAGCTGGGCTATTAGTTTAAATAAAGAAGATAAATGTGTGCCATGCTATATCCAAATCCGAGATCTCCATGGTATTCCCAGAACTTACCCTAACTTTACTATAACAAAAGAGCTCAAAAATACCACAGGAACTTTGCATAGCCCGAGGAGGCAGCCAGGCTTGACAGCACACTGTGGTTTGCCCAGCATCTGGAGACACAGGTGGCATGTGCCAGATGACCTCACCCAGAACACCTTAGACCTGGAGTATCTGCGTTTTGCTCATAAGCTAAAACAGATAGTAAAGAATGGGGATTCTCAGCGTTCTACTCCCACCAGTATCTTTCCAAAGGAATCACCTACCCAGATTGTGAATGGAACATTATCCTTGACAAATGTGTCTGAGGTTCCAATTCTACGTCCTACATCCAAGAACAGAAGTCCCCTTCTGGTAACAATTGTACATTCAGATGCCAGACAACAGAGTCAGCCCCTGAGAGGCCGCTCACCCAGAAATCTTGACAGCTCTCTTCCTTGGAAGGAAAGAAGTAGTTACAGTAGAAATCTTACAAATTCTCAAAGAAATCAGACTGTTTCATTTCACCTCAACAAACTGAAGTACAACAGTGCTTTGAAAGAATCCCGGAATGATATCTCTCTTATTCTCAATGAATATGCTGAATTCAATAAATTAGTGATGAATAACAATCCAGTAGTTTTCCAAGATAAAGATTTAAATGCTGATTCTGGAGAAACCACACCTCAAGAGATGTGTACATCTTCCCCAAGACGGTCAGCCTCATTTGAAGATATGATTACAGACTTGTGTACCAGTTTACATGTCAAACTGAAAAGTGTTGTGAAAGAAGCTTGTAAGAGTACCTTCCTATTCTACCTTGTTGAAACAGAAGACAAATCATTTTCTTTAAGAACAAAGGTAAAGTACCCCTTTGTTTTCTTATAATTTTTGTTGCCTTTTAATTCTAGTGTTATAAGTAATAAATTTAATAATCCTGGCTTCAGAAAGAAATTAGGGTGTGAAGTGGTATTTAGGTTTCACCTCTCAATATTTATTTGCATATCAAAGATTGTTTTCCTATAAGGATCTGCCATTTGTTCTCTGAAGATTTGTATGTTTCAGTAGTACAGTGACTAATTTTCACAAAAAGTTATGAATGTTTCAAACATATTTCCAGTGCTAACATACAGAATCTTCAAAGGCTATTATTGCCAATTTCCTCTCTTAGGGTATATTATTGAGGGGACCTCTTTTGGTTTTAGTTGTGGGTTTTTTTTTTTTTTATAATGTTAGGATAACTGATATTCTGGTTAGTACATGGCTCTTAAATTTAAGTGACATAACCATGGTGATTTCTGACTTTGGAGGAGCTAGAATGTCTTTATTCATAACTGGCTTTCTCATTTTATCCTCTCAGAATTTATTTTTCTTTTATATTCCATATAAACAGTGTTCTTTCTTAAAACAATTAAATTTACCTAAAGGTTTCAGAATACCCTGATCTAGTTACCCCAGTATTGGTATTTCTGAGCCATTTCAATATATGAACTTTCCATATTTTCAGTCTTGAATAGTTCTTTTGTTATTTCTTATCTTTTTTGACCTTGACAGTTTTGAAGACTACAGGCTAGTTATTTGACAGAATTTCCTTCAGTTTGTGTTCATGTGTTATTTTCTCATAATTAATACATTTTGGGCAAGAATATCCAGATATGCTCCTTTTGGTACATGACACCAGGAGACCATTGTTGTCAGTTTGTCCCCTTCCTGACTTTTCACTTGGTTAAGATGATCTTTGTCAGGATTCTCCAATGTGGTTATTTAATAAGCATGCTGTAGTAAAATGTGGGTAATATTTGAGAATGTAAATAAAAATCTAATTCCCTGTCAGACTTTCATGCACAAGATTTATAAATATTTATTGATATTTCTTTCCTGATCATTAATTATTATGATTGCCAAATGGTTATATTATTTGATGATTCCTTCTGAATTTATTAGCATTCTGCAATAGAGCTTTCCCTTCTCTTCCATTTATTTACTTAATTATTTGCTTCTATATATCAGTGTGGACCATGGTCCATATTATACTCAGAGGTTACTGTAACATTCAGATACTGTAACACTCAGAGGATTACTGTAACACTCCTCCTAGACCCAAGCATTGAGAGTCCTTTTAAGCCAGCTTCTGTGTCCTTTTAAGTGATCCCCATAATTCATTGGTAACTTTATTATTTTATGGTGCAAAAAATGATGTTCCAGGCTTGTCTCATATTTTCCCTGCCCAAGTCTTGAAATCAGTCATTTTTTCAAAAAACCATGTTGTTTTTAGTGAAAGAGCATTTAGAATAAAGATCTAGGCAGTGCATGAACTCATTGCCTTGAGTTGTTACTGCTTCAAGGTCTTCTCAGTGCTGTTAAATGTAAGAAATGAACATGGAAATTCATATCCCCAGTTCTAATCCTAGCACCAAGGTTGTACTGACATTCCTTTCCATGGCTGGAGCTCCTTTATCTGAGAAGGCTGGCTCCTTCTGTCCTGCATGTATTGACTTGTTGCAGACCCATTTGCCTCATGTCATCAGACCTATCTGGGGCATTTATCAAGAGCTATTTTTCCAAATATGCCACAAATATGCTAGCTGCCTTTCCCTCACCCTTGCAGCAGAAATTTGTGTTCAGACAACAGCAGTCCTGTCCAGTATATATTTTAGAGTCCTCCAGCATGGCTGGAACAAAGAGTTTGCTGTCAAGCGATGAGTTTGGAAACATCAGAAGGGACCTTGTTAAGAAGGGTCTCATTAATTACACTAGGTATTTAGAGTTTATCCTGAAGTGACTAAAGAGCCCTGAAAAGTATTTTAACATGAGTAACAACTTTTGATCAAATGGATAACTGGTTGAAGAAATTTAAGATAACAAGTCTTAACTTAAAGCTACCTATTGTTACTAGAGTCACAATAACTTCTGTAAGGTGACTCATATTTGGTGCCATTTAAGTATGACATTAAATGACTTGATTTACCCCCCCCCCCCCAATTTGTGGAATCTGTTCTAGCATAACTGATATTTTTTTTCTCCTGCTGAAGATCCCTTTGTTCTTCAGAATCCTTACTAAATGGTTGCAGGATTTGTTTTTTTTTGTTGTTGTTGTTTGTTTTGTTTTTTTTTCATTTCTCCATACCCTTCATCTTTGATCTGAATTCCATGCCATTTTGGTAAGTTGTAGTTGAAAAGACAAAGCATTGAATGGCTTTCAAGTCTTTCTGAAGGCTTTTGGTCTGCAAAAGCAATTTGGAGATTATTTTTAAAAAATTTTTACCATGAATTAAATTTAATTTTAATTTGGTTAATGATAATCCTATACCCTACTGTGCTACAATGAGCACTCAGCCATGTTTCTGTTTTGCCACAGTGAACAAAATTCTTGTTTTCTTTTTTGCTTCCATATTCTCAAAAGCAGCAGTTGCTGAACAACAGACCCATTCCACTCACATGCACTGCCAGTCGTGGCGGCCATTGGAGGGTGAACCAACGGCAAAGGAAGACCTTTCTGTCTCTCTCTCACTGTCCACTCTGCCTGTTAAAAAGAAAAAAAAAAAAAGAAAGAAAATATGGGATGCATCCCCTGAAAAAGAGATGTATTACAGGCCTGTAAAGGAGATGAGGGAGGGGGAAAAAAACCCAAAAAATTCATATCCATCTCCGCATTCAGAAAGAGGTTTGAGAATTGACAGAGCTAGGGAAAATGGAACATATCTGAGAAAACTATGTGGTGGAATATAGCACAGAGGAAAGGGATGTGGGAAGCCCTTTGAGCATGCATATTAAAAAATTGTGTTTTTGCATGCATAACATGTTCAAAGATAGTTGAAATATTACATGAATTTTGTCACTTAACACTGTAATGGATAGTAAGGTGACTCTAGTCTGAGTTCATCTTTGTAGGCTCTAATCGCAATTTTGGCTGTAGCCAATTATTTTTTTTTCAGGGACTTCAAAAAGATACCTGTCCTTTTTTTGGGGAGACCTGAAAAAGAGATTTTTTTTTTAAGTAAACTATTATGGGATAGCAAGTTACTATGCAGCAGTCAGGCAAATGAATATTATGAGCTGTTAGCATGTTGGGAGCTTAAAGAAAGTTTATCATTGAAGAGGGGGAAGGGGAATCCTTTATTGTCTACAGCTTCCCAATAATCTTTGTTCTTGCCCCCTTCCCATAGCAGGTGATCCTAATTTTCATGTACAAGACATAGTAATGCTAAGTTTTATTTGTAGTAGGAGTACTACTAGGTATCATGCTATTTTCTGTAGTGAATGTACTGATCATGCTACTACTTTACCATGTGGCTATGAATCACAATAATTGATAACAAATCCTGTGCAAAGGTAAAATTAAGTGAGAAAGTGAACATATTCTAAAATAAACTTGAGAACAATGTATTATTAAGGACAAATTTTTTTTTTTTTTTTTTTTTTGACAGGCTGAGTGGACAGTGAGAGACAGAGAGAAAGGTCTTCCTTTTACCGTTGGCTCATCCTCTGATGGCTGCTGCGGCCAGCGCACCGCGCTGATCCAAAGCCAGGAGCCAGGTGTTTCTCCTGGTCTCCCATGCGGGTGCAGGGCCCAAGCACTAGGGCCATCCTCCACTGCACTCCCGGGCCACAGCAGAGAGCTTGGCCTGGGAAAAGGGGCAACCGGGACAGAATCCGGCGCCCCAACCGGGACTGGAACCTGGTGTGCCAGCGCCGCAGGCGGAGGAGTAGCCTGTTGAGCCGCGGCGCCGGCCAAGGACAAAATGTTTTTAAAGGCTTAGAAATACACCCCAACTATTCTGCCCTAAAAAGTTCTGAAGTATTAATAAGTCATGGATGGAGTGTTAGGCACATTACTTAAAAGATGAGCATCTGAAATCTAAGTGCATGACAGAAAAACCCAGAACACCACAGGATTTAATGAAAATGTATTCATTCTAACAGTTTATTAGTAAAATTAAGTGATGACTTAAATATTTCAGTGCTTATTAACAAAAATGTCACAAAAATTTCTTTAAAAATCATCCCATGTTTTGAGTAATGAATTAAAATAGTAAAAATTTGAGTAGGAGATTGAAAGATAAGGCTAACAGTTTATCTTTTAATGAAATATTGTCATATGGTATTTTTGTATAACTAGGAATATGAGGGTGTGCAACAGAAAGAAACATAATGTCAGAATCACAAAGGAAAGCAAGGTCGAGAAATTTCTTTAATTACATGAATGTACCTTCTCAGTGAAGCTTACTAGGGAACTACTCTGCATTTAGAATAGTAAACTGCATCACAGCAGCACCCTATAACCATGTGCAATTTAAAGTACATCACCTACTTTGTGAAAAGAATTGAGTCCAGGTGACTACTGACTCTCCAAAATCAGCCCCCATTATGATCAAATACATGGGTATTGTGTATTTTTCTTAAAGTCCTAGAAATGTTGTGACAAAAGGTGGCAGAAAAGGAAATATCCAGCATCCCCAAGTCACCTTGAAGAGGGTGAAACTTATGTAGATTAGTCTGATATGTTAACAAAAAAATTGGCTTTTGATATTTTATGGACATGAAAGATTTCTTATGAACTTTAAATGTAGTTAATAGTAGGTTTTTGTCGTTGTAATGTCCCCCCACCCCTCTGCTCCTGAAAGGCAGAGAGATAGAGAAAAGTATCTTCCATCTGCTGGTTCACTCCCTAAATGGCCACAGCAGCCCGGAACTTCTTCCACATGGGTCACAGGGGCCCAAGCATTTGGGCCATCTTCTGCTATTTAGCAGGAAGCTGGACTGGAAGCAAAGCAGCCAGGAGTTGAACTGCTGCTCAGGCATAAGATGCCAGCATTTCAAGTGGTAGCTTACCCCCAGGGTGCCACAACATCAGCCCTGGGAGTCATGTTTTATGTATAAATGGTGCTTATTTACTTGTCAAATTGCTGTTTATGTTGCCATGGTAGAATATGATGTGCTTTTTTGTAAACTGTTTTAGTAAACAATGTTTTGATCAATTGTTTTAATAAACCATAAAAGTAGCTGTCTGAAAGTATCCCTTTTTTTTTTGTAATGATTATTTGTAAATCTTATAGAACATTCTGAGGAAAGGAGGCCATACGGAAATTGAACCCCAGCATTTCTGTCAAGCTTTTCAGAGAGAGGATGATACACTAATAGTCATCATCAGAAATGAAGATATATCATCACATTTGCATCAAGTAGGTTTGAAATTAACCTTACAAAGAACTGTATTCTAAGCACTTCAGTTGTTCTATAGAGACCAGCTGGTACTCATCACTACCTTTTTATGTAGGGAAGAAGCTAACACACACATTACCCCTGGGCCTTTAAGTGGGAAGATAATGGGATAAAGATGATGTACTATAAAATACCACGATAGTACCAAGGTATTTATAGGGCAGATTATGTTTTAGAGCTAAGAAAGTAATATTAACTAAGGGGGAACTAGGAAGAGGTGAGAGATTGCTAAATTTTCTAATCGGAGACAAAAATCTGTATCACTTAATGGCAAGCAATGACAAATCTTTGATTTGGAAGACCTTATAGAAATCTTCCTTTCCTAACACTTTGATATTTTCCTACTAGTTGAAAAAACACAAATTCTTGTTGGAAAAAGATCCAATTTAAGGACATAGGCAAGGTGCATAATGCTGTTGTCAGTAGAAGGTATAAATATCTCAGCAGGCTGACACCTATGTGTGATCTGGAGCCAGATTGATGCCCAGTTTGTGTAACTTGGAGGTTATTTTACAATCTCTAAAATCCCAGATGTGCTCTTCCCTCATGAATCATTATTCTCAGCCTCTGGGACTTGTAGAGTCCTTTTTTAAAATTAATTGATTTTGATGAGTTTGTAGCTGCTAATGGTAAGCTGAGAAATATTCCTTATGGGTGGCAAAGTTACCAGTGACACAGATATTTTAGGTGTTTCAGAACCTTGAAACGTCTCGATAGAAAAGTGACAAGCAAGTTCAAGAAAACATGCCCAGTGAACCTATCTTTACAGGAGTCTTTTATGTTCTACAGATTCCTTCTTTGCTGCAGCTCAAGCATCTACCCAGTGTCGTCTTTGCTGGAGTAGACAGCCCTGAGGATGTTACTGATTACACCTACCAAGAGCTGTTTCGTACAGGAGGCTTTGTGATATCAGATGACAAAATATTAGAAACTTTAACATTAGGTTGGTATTTTCTTTTCTTGGGTCCTTCTTTGAAGTATAGTCAGATTAATTTGGGTCACCCAGTGACCCAAATACTATTTTATCAATAAGAAATTACTAACTCCAATATCAATTGTCACCTATGGAGCACTTAATTCCTACCATCTGCTCAGCTGAGTACTTTTTAAGTAATTCCCTTATCACAGTGTTCTTGGTCTTTTAATTGATTCTGTTCATCATTAAAAGTTTCATCATTCTCAGTAGCACAGTTAAACTCTCATTCATACTGATTTCAGATTCTGATATTTAACTCAGTAGCTACATGTTTAATTTTTTGCTTAGAATCAGCCTTCTCCATTTTCTGAATGGTATCATCCCTACTGTCCTGCTGACACCACAGAAATTAAAAAATGGTTACTAAAAATTGACTTGTTTAATCATTTTCTTGAACATATACATAATTTACTTTTCTCAGAGCACTAGTTCTGATCACATTAAAATTCAGTGTGGTTGCTGCTTCTGATCAGGTTTTACTTTAACCAGCATGAATTCCACATCGAAACTGTGATTAAAAATAGTAGTAGATGGGCCAGCATTGTGGTGCAGCAGGTTAAGTCCCTACTTGCAGTGCCAGCATCCTGTATTGGGATGCTAGTTTGAGTCCCAGCTGCTCTGCTTCCTATCCAGCTCCCTGCTAATGCGCCTGGGAAGGTGGCAGAAGATGATTCAAGTGCTTGGGCCTGGGAAGGTGGCAGAAGATGATTCAAGTGCTTGGGCTCTTGCCACCCATATGGGAGACCTGGATGGAGTTCTGGCTCCTGGCTTCAGACTGGCCAGCCCTGGCTATTGAAATCATTAGGGGAAGGAATCAGTGGATGGAAGATCTCTGTCACTCTGGCTTTCAAGTAAATAAAATCTCAACCTACCTTTTCTCTGTTTCCCTGTGCCTCATGCTTCTCTTCTGTTAAGATGATTTGTCCAATCAGAGCTTTAATTGCTAGCGCTCACCATGCTGTGGTCTCTACAGTTGTCACCCACTGTAATGTGAATTGGTAGGACTGATCCAAGAGACAGGCCTTAGGTTTTACATTTTGAGAGTAGACACTGCCCAACCACCAAAGTGGCTGTGAGGATATGCTCAAGCATGACTCTTAATTTTACAAGTAATAATTACTGTACTTTGCATGAGTCAAACCCTAAAGCACATCATTTCTTGCCAAACTTATTTTATAGATCAACTTAAGGAGATTGTCAAAACCCTGGAAAAGCTAAATGGAAATGGAAGATGGAAGTGGTTACTTCACTACAGGGAAAATAAAAAGCTAAAAGAAATAGTAAGGTAAGGACTATTTATCTTTTGTTCCCTTTCCCCTTTGGAGGAGGTTAGATGTCTGAAGGCTATAGACTAGTGACGACTTCAGGTGCTGTGCTGTTCCAGGAGAGGTGTGTGTGGCCTGGAAAACATCTTCATCACTAAACACACTATTTAGATCTACTATTTACTAGGTTTTATTTTAGACATTTATTATCACCAGCCATGAATATGCAAGCTGAAATTGTGGGACTACATGAAAACCTTTAAAGGAAAAGGGTCAGAACAAAATTTTAGGAAAGGTTTTCCTTAGGGAGATTAGCACAGGAGAGAAAGGAAGAGTACAGAGGTTTCATTGACAGGAAGGGAAGAAGGGATGTATAGCCTTAGGAAGGTCAGAGTATGACCAGGCAGAGTTGACTTTGGGAAAATTTCAAACTTCAGTACTAATTAGAGAAAGACATTAAAGCTCTTAGGTGTCACAGCACACATAAAGAATTAGTAAGTATAAGTTAAAATAATTGGTTTCTAGGACTTTGGGTAAAGGAAAATACTCATTGTTGGTACTGCAATATACTCTTCACATTGTACCTGTCTGGTACTATGGAAAAGGCAAAAAGAGAACTCCTCAGATAATTCCTTTGACCTTTTGAGGAACTTACGTAAAACTAAAGCCAAAACACCTAGCTTTTAAATCATTACGTCTACAAATATTTATAGTTGTGGAAAGTATTCAGAAATTGTAAAACCAACCTCAGTTCCAGCTCTAAACAAATACAACAAAAGACATAGACTAGATAGATGTTTTAAAGCTGATACAAAATAGTGCCATAGTAAGTAAAAGTGTTTAAGAACTTCTGTTCACATAACATGGAAGTATAATGTTATCCTAAAACTATTCCGTGTGATGCCCATCGTATAAAATGTTTTCTATAGACAGGGAAAAGCCTGGGAGGAATTCATCAAGATGTTAATAGTGATTATCACTAAGGTCATGAGAATGTGTGAGATTGTGGTTTTCATCATTAAGCAGGAAACAACATAACTGAAAACTAAAGATGGAATCAACCGGGATGGATGTTTAAAACTTAAGCATGGGAAGAGTTAGGACATGTTTTCCTCTCAGAGGAGGAAAAGAAGAATAAATTTTAAGAAAATTTCAGCTTGCTACCCAGTGCTAATGAAGTTAATCATCACTGGACCCCAAGGCCTAAGTATGGAAGTTTTGAGATACAGTTAGACAGTAGAGAAAAATCCAGAAGAAATGAAAGTGTTTGCCAAGCCACATGATTTAAGTGGTAGTAGATAAATGTGTGGTTTCCCTTTCTTACATGAAACCCCTTTATGTATTTTAAGTGCCACTGTAATGTTTCGAGACAACATTCAGTGACATCCTAGGCCAGGTATGTCATGAAAAAGAATATTAGAGGGGCTGGCTCTGTGGCACAGCAGGTTAAAGCCCCGGCCTGCAGGGCCAGCATCCCATATGGTCACCAGTTCGATCCCAGCGTGCCTGGGAAAGCAGCAGAAAATGACCCAAGTCTGTGGGAGACCCACAAGCAGCTCTGGGCTCCTGGCTTCAGATAGGCTCAGCTCTGGCCACTGTGGCCATTTGGGGAGTGAACCAGTGGATGGAAGACTGACACCTCTCTCTCTCTCTCTCTCTCTGTCTCTCTGTCTCTACCTCTCCCTGTAATTATATCAGATAAATAAAATTGCAAAAACAGAACATTAGATAAAGCAGTATTTCATAAGTTTGATTTGTTATAACTGGTTAAAATAAAGGCCAGAAAAAAACCTTTGGAATAAAACAAATGAGAAAAATGAGAATTAACACAAAATTATACTGAGTCTAAATTTGGTTTTATGGCCAACAAGTATGTGAAAAAATGTTCAACATCACTAGCCATCAGGGAAATACAAATCAAAACCACAGTGATAGCACCTCACCGCTGATAGAATGGCTGTTTTCCAGAAGACTGAGAGGAACAAATCTGGTGAGGATGTGGAGAAAAGGGAAGTCTTATGCACTCTTGTAGGAATGTACTTTAGTGTAGCAGTGTGGAGATTTCTTAAAAAACTAGAAACAGACTTGCCATATGCTCCAGCAATCCCACAACTGGGTATATACCCAAGATATGAACTCACTGTATCAAAGAGATACCTGTTCCACCATGTTTATAGCAGCATTGTTCACAGTAGCCAAAATATATAGTCAACCAAGGTATGCATCATCAAATTGGTGAATAAAATGGGATATATACACACAATGAAATAATTTACAGCCACACAAAAATGTAATTCTGTTATGATTGCAGCAGAAAGGTCAGAAATGGAGGACTTGACGTTCTCCTTTGTATATGGGAGCTAAAATTTAAAACCTGAATGTATCAGTTTTATTCCATGTGTTTTGTGAAACCTTGCTTTAAATATATGTCCAACAAACTGATAGGAACAGACATTTTCTTTTGATTATTACGTATAGCCTGTGCATATTTTCAGTGGGGCTCTATGGTCTTTTCACTTTTTACATGTTGAACTCTTAACATTTAGAGCCAGTCAGCCTTTGACTGTAATATAAACAGTGTGTTATCTCCAAAATATTTTTAAAATATATTTGGTTATAAACATTTCTATGTTTTCCAGAGTGGATTCAGTTGCACACAAGAAGAACTTAATATTGAAATCATACCAGGGTGCAAATATCATTGAATTGCTTCACTATCACCGGTGTGACTCTCAGTCATCAACAAAAACAGAAATTTTGAAATGTTTGATAAGTCTGCAAATTCAGCATATTGATGCCAGGTTTGCTGTCTTCCTTACAGGTAAATTCAGTTTGAGTTCTATTTGGTTAGTGTCAAAGTAGGTCAGCTCCAACAGTGTCCTTCTAATTAGTCACAGAATACCTAAGATACCTGGGGATATATCCCATGGCTGGCATGCCAACAGCAAACTTTTAGCCTGTATGTTTTGATAAATGCATATAAGGCAACATAGGTATTATGGAATGTGTCTTCTAATAAGTTTAATTGGCTCCAAGTACTTAATAATTTTATACTTTTTTATATCTAATGTTTTCTATGAATCTTAATTAGGATTTTTAAAAAACTACAAATGGTATCAGTAATGTTCTCCCCACCCCTAGAGGCAGCTACTCCCAAAGCTTCAAATCTTTCTTAGGTTTAACTAGACACCTATGTTTTCTGTCTTCTATCTATTGCCTCATCTTATTAGAGAGTCCTAGATACAGTTTTTAAAAAAATGGGTCTGTTGCTTTAAAAAATAAAGAAATTATATTTTTTAAAATAATAAAAAATGTTTGTTTTAACAGATAGGCCTACTGTATCCAGAGAAGTCTTTGAAAATAGTGGAATCCTTGTTACAGATGTAAATGATTTCATTGAAAATATACAAAAAATAGCATCTCCATTTAGGAGTAGCTATTGGTAAGATTACTTTTTATGTTACCCTCCCAGGTATATGGGTGGTGGGTGGTTGATTTGTGTGTCTGACAAACAGTTCAAAAATTGTTCCTTACATTATATAAGGGCACTTCAAAATGTTCATGGAAAAATTGATTTGGGGGGCAGGTATTTGACCTGATGGTTATTAACTCCACTTGGAGAAGGTAAGGAGATGAGATCTCTCAAATACAATCTTTTACAAATTTAAAGTATGTTTATTTAGGGGAATTTTCTGTATTAGATATACCATTTTAAAAAAAACTTAAGGTAATATTAACAATTTTGTGTTTATCCAAGGTGACTGGACTGAAGCTTGCCTATTCATGAACGATGCCTAACAACAATTTTCTTTGATAAACATGAGATAGTCATTTCATATTTTGAAAAATCAATTGTTCTACAACTTCATTTTTATTTTGCTAGAATGTCTGATTTCATAGTAGTTGTTGAGCTTTGGGTCACAATGTTGAATATTGTTTTAAATTATTTTAAACAGAATGCCTTCAAAGCTATTAATTGGACTTACTATTCAAAATAAGAATTTTACAACATGTTTACATAGTTGGAGCCAAGAATAAGTATTTTAGTAACGAATAACTGCATTTTTATATGTTAATGTAATGCATGTTGTGGTCTGTTTTAAAGTTTTGCCATCCTTGTGAAACTATAAATCTTAAATGGTTTTATTTGCTATTATATAAACAACACTACACAAAGTTAATACATTTTTTTCCTAAATGGTACAAATTTATAAACTGTCATTTTTCACTTAGTTTTTGTAAATACTACACTACAAAATCAATTCTGAGGAAACTTTATGATATTTGAATTTCTACAGTAATCTTTCAAACTAAAAACCAAACATTTGAGATACTTAGTATCTATTTGGAACAAAAGTTTTTGTAACTAATTTGTTTCTTTTTTTTTTTTTTAATAAAGACAACCCAAAAGCATCCAACCAAAGTTTCTGCAATGATTTTATGGCAAAAAAAAAAAAAAAAAAAACACCTTGTCTTAGCAATCTCGGGCCATTAAACAGGAATAACTAACCTTCCAGAGCAATCCTACCACTTAGACCCTCACAGACCTGCTAGTGTTTCTGGTATCCTTTTCCCTCCTCAAAGTCTTAGTAATAAATAGCCTGTACAGTGAGGCTTACCACTACTTAACATCAATAGGAGTCAAGCATCGTATACTATATAGTATCAGGAATAAAATGTGGGGTCTACTCATACTGAAGCCAGATGATGACAAGGGCTGCTCTGATCTGTCCAGATCAGGAGCCACATATGCTCTTTGATACTGTGCACACCTTATGATTCTATCATCTTTCAGCTTTACTGAAGGAAACACTAATAGTTACAATCAGGACACAGACCAATACAGAGAGCAGTGGTATCCAGAATTTGGCTTTATTTTGCAGTACAGAAATCATTTGGAGCCATTTCAGACAGACTAAAGTAGAGGCTCTGTCAAATCAATACTGCATTGCAGCTTGGTCCATTGAAGAAGCCACACCTGTGATATAAAAGATACTTCTACATTTTACCTGCTTTATGACCGATTCCTTTCCCCTTGGTCTCACCAATTTCATTAGTTAAAACACCACAAAGTGGCTTCCTCCAAATGACTCCCTATCTCTGGAGTTTGGTTATAATTTATGCCCACATAAACCAAATCTGTGGCTATACTATTTGGGACCTGCCATAATATGTGATAAAACACAAAACAAAATTAGAGGGAGAACTTGGGGGTGCTGTTTCAAATTATGGAATATTCAGTGTAGGATCTCAGTGTCATAAGGACAGATGGCACAGACATACAGATACAGTTCTTGAGCAGCAGAGGCACAACTGCCAAGACTATGCTGATTAAAAGATAAAAATACTGTATCAAGTTCTCTGTATCAGTATCACAATGTTTGTTTAAAACTGATCTTTCACAGGATGTGGGGTGGTTTGGTTAAATTGGAACAGAACGTGGTAACCTGCCAATTCTGAATAGCCACTCCAAGAACAGAAGTTAATACATGATACTAGAAAGATGAAGGGGGAGGAATATTTACTGGTATAGTGCTCTTCAATCCCTCCATTTTAATTACAAAAGCAGGCTTTACAATACTGATTTCATACAATATGCATTATTTGCCAAATTTTAAATTTGTCCCAATTTAGTAACATGTACTGTTGTTAGTCTTCCCCATAGATGTCATTTTTCTTGCGCTTCATTTCCTCAAAGTCAAACTCTGATCCTGTCATCCTCTTATAGATGTCTTTAATGTCATCACAAGTTGTCTCAAAGTGAGTCGTAGCATCATATGTGCGGGAAATAAAGATCTGGAAATAAAAATCATAAAAATTATGATTTGTTAAGGGATATCTTGCAATGAAGCCTAATATCCTTTTCAGATCTCCACACTCACCTGGCTTTCTTTTCCCAAATCTTTTGGCACAAGGAGGTCACTGATGCTAACAAATCTGGAGGGGAAAAAGAATTAGGTTGCCAAGTTAGTTGGCCTCAAACTAATAATTGTTTGCTGAATTTCTAAACACAAAAGGTAAGACTGGTAGAGATGGTTCAGTTTAAGAAATACCCACAAGAACCCAATGGTTGCCTTCCTTGTTATCATGTTCAAACCACCACCCCCCAAAGCCAAAATCAAGACCCCAATTAGGATTTTAGTTCATATAAATGAACACAACACTCACTTCTGTTCAATTGGTTCCAACAGTTCCAAAGCTGGTCTGATTTCTTTCTCAGGTTCCTTGGTTTCCATAGTTGTACTGACTATGGCAATGTACTTCCCTTGTGCTGCCACATTGTGTGCAGAGGAAATCATGCAGACATAGATATCTAGAAACAAATAATAGCAGCTCAATGCCTAAAGTTTATAAACCTGTTTATAAAACTTAGCATACTAACTTTTCACTATATTTCATCAAGGTGTTAATTTACACTACTTGAAGCAGGCAAGATCTTATAAACATTCTACATGGAGACAAAACACAACCACAGTATTCAAATATTTAACGATTAAAAATTATGTGGCAGTGAACCGCTAAACATGAAAATGAAATCTCCCTGCTGTATAATAGCTAACAAGCCATATTAACTATTCTGGGATTTTCTTTTACTTAGGACTTTGCATTAAATAGCTAACAAGATTTATTAAGTACTGTTTCCTTCATTTGATACTGCAGATCAGTATAAGACCTTTATGAACTAGTTTAACAGACTCACAGGTCCTGATACCAGACCTGGTCTGTATATCACTATTCTAAACAACTGCATAATTTGCAATATAGAAAATAATTATTGGAGGTTGGCATTCTGCTACTTGTGACAATGGCATCCCACATTAGAGTACCAGTTCTATTCCTGGTTGCTCCACTTCCACGCTAGCTCCCTGCTATAATGTGCTTGGGAAGGCAGTAGAAAATGGCCTAATTACTCAGGCCCCCATAACACACATAGGAGACCTGAATGGAGTTCAGGCTCCTAAAGCTTCAGCTGGCCCAGCATTGGCCATTGTGATCACTTTGGGGAGTGAACCAGCAGGCAGAAAATCAGTCTCTCTCCCCGTTTTTCTCTGTCACCCTGCCTTTCAAATAAGTAAATCTTAAAAAATTAGTACCAGACTCCCTATATATTTTTTTAAGATCTTCACAAATCCAGGGAACTGCCTGTTTTAATATAAACCTTAAATGCAAAATAATAATAATAGTTATAATACAGGCAAGATTTAGGGCTGAAACTCAATTCCTGATATGAATCAGAGAAATAAAATTTTTCTAGCACATTTTTAAAATCAAATAAGTGTTTGTATAAAAGCAGCTGTGTCATCAGCTCAAAAACAGTGTAATCAGTTCAACAATTACCTACTGTGAATGGGGACTTTTGTGTTTACCTTGTCTAGTCCATTAATTCCAAAAGGAAGGAAACGAAGGTCCAGAGAGATGCAACAAGTGTTAGATAAGGCACTGGGGCCAGCGCTGTGGCGCAGCGGGTTAAAGCCCCGGTCTGAGGCGCTGGCTTCCCATACGGGCGCCGGTTCTAGTCCTGGCTGCTCTTCTTCTGATCCAGCTCTCTGCTATGGCCTGGGAAAGCAGTGGAAGATGGCCCAAGTTCTTGGGCTTTGACTTCTGCACCCACATAGGAGACCTGGAGGAAGCTCCTGGCTCCTGGCTCCTGGCTCCTGGCTTCGGATTGGCACAGCTCTGGCCATTGCGGCCATCTGGGGAGTGAACCAATGGATGGAAGACCTCTCTCTCTTTCTACCTCTGCCTCTCTCTGTAACTCTGTCTTTCAAATAAATAAAATAAATCTTTAAAAAAAAAAAGATAAGGCTCCTAGTCAACAACGTAAGCTGCAGGATCACTAGAAGCTGAAAGTATCACATGTCCCCCACATGTACACTTAAGTCTATTCACTATAATACAGCATACAAAATTAGGAATTTCAGATGAAATCCAATGTAAATTACATCTAACAAAATCTTATAAACATCTGCTGGTCTTCAATACTCACCTGACTTTCGATTGACTTGGTTTTGTGGAATAATGATCTGGCAGGAGTTGGCATCGTTGGTATTCTTGATGGGATGACTAAGAATGCAGATAACTCTTATCACCTGGCCCACTTTCTCCACCCGATCTTTTACATAGCTGGGGTCACAGATGAGCTGCTTACAGCGAGCAATCTGTAAGAAAACATTGAAGGGGCTGGATCTGTGGTGCTGGCATCCCATCTGGGTACCAGTTTAAGTCTCAGTTGCTCCACTTCTGATCCAGCTTCCTGCTGATGGCCTGGAAAAGCAGCACAAGATGGCCCAAGTGTTTGGACCCCTGCACCCACATGGGAGATCCAGAAGAATCTCCTGGTTCCTGGCTTCAGTAGGTCCAGCTCTGGCCATTGAGGCCATTTGGAGAGTGAACCACAGCGGTTCCTGGCTTCAGTAGGTCCAGCTCTGGCCATTGAGGCCATTTGGGGAGTGAACCACAGCGGATGGAAGACCTGTCTCTCTCTGTCCCTCTGTAACCCTGTCTCAAGTAAATAAATACATCTTTAAAAAAAAAAAAAAACTTTATAAAGAAGACAAATTGATGGAAACAACTGATTGGAAGAGTTAATACTGTTAACATGTCAAAAACCTGTCCTGAAATGTATATTGATTCTCAAGGAATTGAATTTAAGAATAACCTAAACAATATTGAACAAGTCTTGAAAATTCACTAAAAAGCTACAGTAGTCCAGTGTGGAATTAACATAAAAGCATATGGACTAATGTAACAAAAAAGAAAGCCCCAAATAAACCTGCTTATCCACAAATAATTTGACAAAGGTACCCAGACCAGTCTACAGAAAAGATAACTATTTCAACAAATGCTACTATATGGAAATTGTATCCACATGTAAAAGGATGAGGTCAACTCTTGTCTAACACCATATACAAAAATCAAAATAGATCAAGAGACCTAACATCATAAAACTGTTAGAAGAAAACATAAGGCAAAGGTTTCAAGACCTTGGATTTGGAAATTTCTTGGACACAACAAAATGAAATGGGTTATTTGATCCCACAAATATTTTAATTTTTGTGTATCAAGAAACACTATAAAGAGGCAACCCATAAAATGGGAGAAAATTTGCAAATGATATGCCTGATAATGGATTAATATCCATATTATACCAAGAACTACTACATCCCAACAACAAAAAAACCAACCTTATTCAAAAAATGTGGAAAGGATTTGAATGTATCTTTTCCCAAAGACATTAGGCTCATAAGCATATGTAAGATGCTAACCATCACTAATCATTAGGGAAATGCAAATCAAAACTACAATGATACACCACATCTCATACTCATCAGGATAGCTACTATCAAAAATGTTGGCAAGGGCCGGCGCCACGGCTCACTAGGCTAATCCTCCGCCTTGTGGCGCGGGCACACTGGGTTCTAGTCCCGGCTGGGGCGCCGGATTCTGTCCCGGTTGCCCCTCTTCCGGGCCAGCTCTCTGCCGTGGCCAGGGAGTGCAGTGGAGGATGGCCCAAGTGCTTGGGCCCTGCACCCCATGGGAGACCAGGAGAAGCACCTGGCTCCTGGCTTTGGATCAGCGCGGTGCGCCGGCCGCAGCGGCCATTGGAGGGTGAAACAACGGCAAAAGGAAGACCTTTCTCTCTCTCTCTCTCTCTCTCACTGTCCAAAAAAAAAAAAAAAAATGTTGGCAAGAATGTGAAGAAATTATGCACTGTTGACAGGAATGTAAAAATGGTATACTTCTATGGAAAACAGTAATGTTTGTCAAAATACTAAAAAAGACTTACCATATGATCCAACAATTCAACTCCTGCATATAAACCCATAACTGAAAGCAGGAGCTTGAGATTTATTTACACACCCATTCACAGCAGCATTACAAAAGCTAAAATATGGAAGCAACCCAGATGTTCTAATGATAGATAAATAAGAAAAAATAGTATATATCCACACAATGGAATACAAATGTACTTCAAAGTGTTTATGGGAAAAGGGATTAACAGCTGAATTTGGTTTGGCCCAAAAATTTCAAAATCCATTCATAGCTTTTTCTTATTCCCATGAAGTTTATGAATTCTCCTTATATTATTTTAGCCTTAAACAGGACACATGCTACAACACAGGTAAAACCTTAAATGCATTACAGTAAGTGAAATAAACCATTCAAAACCAAATAGTATATGATTCCACTTATCTGTTAATACTTAGCAGTCATAATCATGGAATTTATCATGAATATTTACTGTTTAATACGTAGAGTTTCAGTTCTACAAGGTGAAAAGAGTTGTAGGGGAGCACTGTGGATCATCAAGTTAAACTGCGGTCTGAAGTGCCTGCATGCTATACGGGTGCAGGATGGAATTCTGGCTCTTCAACTTCCAATCCAGCTCCCTGCTAACGTGCCTGGGCAAGCAGCAAAGAATGGTCCCAGCACCCACAAGGGAGACCTGGAATAAGCTTTTGGCCCCTGGCTTCAGCCTGGCCCAGCCTCAACTGTTGCAGCCATTTGAGTAGTGAGTGAACCAGTGAATGAAAAGATCTTTAATTCTATCTTTCAAATAAATAATTAAAAAAAAAAGTTATAGATTTGGGTTGCGGTGATAATTATACAAAAACATCTATGAATATATTTAAAATCAGTGACTCACTTAAAAAAAATTTTTTTTTATATTTTATTTATTTGAGAGGTAGAGTTAGAGAGGGAAAGACAGATAGAAAGGTCTTCCATCTGCTGGTTCACTCCCGAAGTGACTGCAACAGCTGGAGCAAGGCACCAGGAGCTGCTTCTGGGTCTCCCATGAGGGTGCAGGGCCCCAAGCACTTGGGCCATCTTCTGTTTTCCCAGGCCATAACAGAAGCTGGATAAGAAGAGCAGGGGGACATAAACCAGCGCCCATATAGGATCCGGTGCTGCAGGTGGAGGCTTAGACTACTATACTACAGTGTCAGTCCCCACTTAAGTGTTTAAGATGGTAAATTTTATGTATACTTTATATATTTTCAGTGTTTATATACAGTACACTAATGCAATTCACCTCTGAAAATGGTATCTTCATAACTTAATATAAAAACTATAGATAAAACTCTGGAGTACTGAAAATAGCTTTGTCATCAATCCCTATATATATATATTTTTTCACATTTAAAAATCAGAACATTTATTGTGTGATTGACTGTTGAAATTTCCGAAATTCTTAAGATGGACTAGATACTACAACAGCTGCCCTCTTCTGTCTGGGGGTGGTGGGGGTGGTGGTGGTTCTGTCAAGGAATCCATTCGTGGCTGAATCTGCAGAATAGGCATTTTAGAGACCGTGTTCTACCTGTCACAGTGGTTTGTCTTTTAGCCTTGGCACTCCAATTATAATACTTTCTCTTGTGCTTGGCAGAGTAGCTACATTTGTGACAGGCCAACTTCTGAAGATGGTGTACCTTAGAGCCACAGTGGCAGCATAACATGCACTTCTTTTCATAACAGTTTCCAAAAGATGCTGTTCCCTTTGTCATCTCACATCTATTCCAAATATTCTCATTGAACAGATAACATGAATTCGAAATCCTATTAGGGAAACTGGTACGTGGTATTCAGACTATTTAAAACTGGGCAAATCAGGGTTCAAATCCTGGCTCTACCTAACCGCAAGAACTGATGTCAGAACTAAATGAAATGGTATGTACATAAGGGTTCTCTTATGTGCATGCCCTGTTAGAAAAGTGAGTGATTGAAGGTGGGCATTTCATCTGGTGATTCAGATCCCACTTGGGATGCCCCTGCTCTCACATCAGAGCACCTAGGTTCAAGTCCTGTCTCTGCTGCCAATTCCAGTGTCCTAATGCACATCTTGGGAAGCAGCAGGTGGTAGCTCAATTGGTTGGATCCTTGCCACCCATGTGGGAGACCAAGATTGAGTTCTGGCTCCTGGGTTTGACCCGACCTATTGTGAGCATTTGGGAATCAACCAGCAGATAGGAGATTTTTCAATAAAATAAAAATAAACAAATAGGGAACCCATGAACTAAATAAACCACTAAAAAAAAAAAAAAGTAACCATATTTCCTAAACCACTATTACACTGAAAGGACAGGTAGTAGGGCCAACACTGTGGCATAGTGGGTTAAGTTGTTGCCTGCCAATGCCAGAATCCCATATGGGATTCAAGTCCCAGCTACTCCACCCAGCTCCCTGCTGATGCACTTGAGAAAGTAGGGGAGAATGCACCAAGTGCTTGGGCCCCTGCACCCACAAGAGCGACATGGAAGAAGTTCTTGGCTCCTGGCTTCAGCTGGCCCAGCCCCAGCCATTGTAGCCATCTGGGGAGTGAACCAGTGGATGGAAGATTCTCTCTCTGTGACTCTGCCTTTCAAACAAATATATCTTTAAAAAAAAAAAGAAGGGGGACAGGTAGTTACGATAGATAAATGACATTGTGTCATAGTAGGTAAAACTGCTGCCTGTAACGCTGGCATCCCAGATGAGTGCCAATTAGAGATCTGGCTGCTCTACTTGTGATCCAGCTGCCACCATGTGCAAAACATAGAAGACACTCCTGGCTTAGAATGAGCCCAGCTTCAGCCATTGTGGCCATTTGGGGAGTGAACCAATAGATGGAAGATCTCACTCCCTCTGTCTCTTCCTCTCTCTCTTTAACTCTACCTTTCAAATAATTTTTTTTAAAAAAGATAAAGCTTAGATTTTAAGAATTTCAAACACAGACAATATGTAAAGCAGTATTTTTTGGAGTTTCCTCTACTTCAACTATTAAGAATAGTAACTGAGACAACAAAATTAAGCAATATGGTGAGAAAAGCAAAGGATGGGCAACTTTTCTCTGTAATGTGTACTTTCCACACCAGGGTTATCAGTCACCTGAGAACCTTTCAAGAACACACTAAACTTCCTCAGACCTACTGAATCAGAATATTCAGTACCAGACTAAGAGTCATATGAGTGGTCTTCAAAAATTTAAGAGAATGTTTTTTATGAAAAAACACAGGAATTTCAAAATGTACCAATACAAACTTCACTTTTAATTCCATTTTTTCAGGAACATTTTCAAGTACCCTCATGTTATTAAAATAACCACCTGTATGGATGGCAGACTCCATAGCTAAACCTCAAATTAAATAACAAAATATCCTGTATATGCCAAGCCCAACTTCAAACAATAAATTACAAGTGGTTTAAATGAAACTAAATTTATATGAAAATTTGAAAAGAGACATCAACCCATACAATATTAATATAGAATAAATACTATTTAGAACATATCCATAATGCTGCATATTTTAGTCATAAGACTATTATTTTTACTACAACAATTAACAGGATAGAAAGGATTCAATTTGTATTCTTTTTAAATAAAGAACAGCCACTCTAGTGTTTCATCATGGTGAATACTAACTTACCATAAAGAAATCATGTAACAGTCTGGAAACCAGGATCAATGTCCACATCAAAATAAGTACTTATAATTATCTTCACAAGTTCATGTTATTTCAACTGTAAAAGCTACATACCTCTCCTTCAGATTTTACACCAACCACCTTCCCATTCTGCACAATGATTTCTTCGATAGGTTTATTCAGCATGTAGGTACCACCATAAATAGCACTTAGCCTAGAAAAATTTTAAAATCTCAATTAATAATGTAATTGCTTGTCTTTTTCTTTATATTTCAATGTTAAGGGCACATATCTGCTCATTTTCATTCTAGAAGGATGTTTGCTGACAACTGTCAAAAGTCACAGTTATGAAGAAATTATATGCAGGAATGGCTTATACTGGTCTAATCCTCCTGTATATGCATAAGACTCTGGAATAAAAACATTATCAGAAGGCTCAGAAAAGTGCATAAGGGAAAGCAGAAAATGAAAGAAGAGCTCAAAAGGAACCACTACCACTTGGTGTTTATGTGATTTACAGGGCTTTTTCCCCATGTGAACTACCTCGCTAGTCCTTAGGAAATTACCATACCACCTTGATTATTACAGCTTTATAGTCTTTTTATAAAAGCAGATTAATTTATTTGAAATGCAGAGTTACAGAGAGAAGAAGAAACAGACAATGAGATCTTCCATCCACTGGTTCCCTCCCCCAAATGGCTACAGTAGCCAGGACTGAGCCAGGCCAAAGCCAGATGCCTAAAACCTCATCTGGATCTCCCACGTGGGTGGCAAGAGCCCAAGCACTATCGCCATCCTCTGCTGCTTTCCCAGGTGCATTAGCAGGGAGCCTGTGAGAAGTGGAGCAGGCAGAATTGAACTGGCACTCATGTAGGATGCCAGCACTGCAGGCAGTGGCCTGATCCGCTGCACCACAACACTGGCCCCTATAATATCTAGACGTCAGGTGATATATGTTCTTTGATTTTGCTCTTTTTCATAATTTGATTTGGCTATTTACATGTTAAAATCAGGCTATCAATTTTTAGAAAAAATGCTGTGGTAAGATCTGTAGATTAATTTGATGAAAACTATTATCTTAAAATAAGGCTTCCAACCCATGAATATGGTATTTTCTCCATGTACTTTTTAAGGTTTTCTTTGTCTCAGTAATGTTTCAAAGCTTTCATTGCGGAGATCTGATACATTTCTAGTTAAAAGTTTTCAAAAGTATGAGAGTACTTAACAAAAAGTTCATAGAAAATGGAATTAAAATTTAAGTATTTTGGTGCAGAAACATTCTGAAATCCATGCACATGGTTATCTAACAAAAGGGTTGCTGTCAGAGTACATCAAGAGCTACAAATGAGGGGACAGCACTGAGCCATAGCTAGTTAAAGCCACCACCTGTGACACCTGCATCCCATATGGATGCTGGCTGGAGTCCCAGCTGTTCCACTTTTAATGGAGTACTTCTGCTCCCCGCTAGTGTGCCTGGGAAAGCAGTGGAAGATAGCTCAAGTGCTTGGGACCCTGCAAGCACGAGGGAGACCTGAAAGAATCTCTGGCTTCAGATTGGTACAGCTCTGACCATTGTAGCCATTTGGAGAGTGAACCAGCAGATGGAAAACTCTTGCTCTCTATGTCTCTCCCTCTCTGTAACTCTGCTTTCAAATAAATAAAACCTTAAGAAAAAAAAAATGAAAATCAAAAAGATAACCCATTATTTTAAAATGTACAGAAAACCTGAAAATATCCCAAATGATACAAAGGGCCAATAAGCTCATGAAAAAGTGATCAACATTAGTTTGTAATAAATCCAAGTTAAAATCATAATAAGACTGCATTTCACACCCAGTTATGTGATAAAAAAGGCTGACAGTGTTGACAGGGATGTGGAAGTAACCAAAACTCACATATACTGCTGGGTATATGCAGAATGGTACCTATATGAAAACAGATAAGTATATGAAAAAACACATATACTTGCTATCTCAGTCAGCAGTTCCACTCCTGGATATTTAACCAAAACATATGTAAACTGATATCTGCAAAAAAGACTCGTATATACAAATCTCCTAATATTTCTATTCATAATAGCCAAGTACTGGAACCTTCTAAGTATGTCGATGGGAAAATGTGGTATATTTGTACAATTCAAATTAATAGACTATTAAGTGAATTAATACTATGTGCATCAACTTCAATGAACCCCCAAAATACTTTTGTTTTTTAAAGAGATTTATTTAAAATGCAGAGTTACAGAGAGAGAGAGAGAGAGACAGAGAGCGAGCTTCCATCCCTAAATAGCTGCAACAAATGAGGCTGGGCCAGCCTGAAGCCAGGAGCCAGGAGCTTCTTCTAGGTGCAGGGACCCAAGCACTTGGGCTATCTGCTACTGCTTTCTTAGGCACATAAGCAGGCAGTTAGATTGGAAGTAGAGCAGCCAGGACTTAAACTGGCATCCATATGGGATGCCAAACGGCAGGCCATGGCTTAACCTACAAGGCCACAGTGCTGGCCCCGTCAAAAACATTCTTAAGCATGTATATATTATGCTCTTTATATGAACTTCAACAACAAGCCAAAGTAACCTATGAAAATAGAAATCACAAATGCAATTGCTGGGCACATGATAAGGTGATAAGAAAACATTCTGGGGTGAGGAAAATATTCTGTGTATCTTGATTTTGGTTTCAGTTACAAAAATCTGTATGTACTGATTTTTTTATTTTTTATTTTTATTTATTTTTATTTTTTTTTTTTTATTTTTGACAGGCAGAGTGGACAGTGAGATAGAGAGACAGAGAGAGAAAGGTCTTCCTTTTGCCGTTGGTTCACCCTCCAATGGCCGCCGCTGCAGCCGGCGCACCGCGCTGATCCGATGGCAGGAGCCAGGATCCAGGTGCTTTTCCTGGTCTCCCATGGGGTGCAGGGCCCAAGCACCTGGGCCATCCTCCACTGCACTCCCTGGCCATAGCAGAGAGCTGGCCTGGAAGAGGGGCAACCGGGACAGAATCCGGCGCCCTGACCGGGACTAGAACCCGGTGTGCCGGCGCCGCAAGGTGGAGGATTAGCCTATTGAGCCATGGCGCCGGCCTATGTACTGATTTTTTAACTGAAAATCTCTGCCTTCTACTGTATGTAAATTTTACTTCAATAAAAATAAAGGCATCTCGGGCCGGCGCCGTGGCTCACATGGCTAATCCTCTGCCTGCGGCACCGGCGCCGGCACCCCGGGTTCTAGTCCCGGCTGGGGTGCCGGATTCTGTCCCAGTTGCTCCTCTTCCAGTCAAGCTCTCTGCTGTGGCCCAGGAAAGCAGTGGAGGATGGCCCAGGTGCTTGGACCCTGCACCCACATGGGAGACCAGGAGGAAGCACCTGGCTCCTGGCTTCAGATTGGCGCAGTGCACTGGCCGCAGCGGCCATTTGGGGGTGAACCAGCAGAAAGGAAGACCTTTCTCTTTGTCTCTCTCACTGTCTAACTGCCTGTCAAAAAAAAACAACTAAGTAAAGGCATCTCATTTCTCACAGAAATTATACCTATGCTATATACCTATGTATATATGACTAATATACTGTTATAATACCTATGTTGAAGATGAAGTTCAGGATCAATAAGGTTTCAGCTAATGGGTGAAAGATAGATTCTTACCTTGCAAATCCTTGTGGGAGTTCCCCAAGGCCATAGAGTGGATAAAGGTATGGGCTTTTGCCATATCGCGCCAGAGACTCACTGTAAAGTTTAATTCTATTAATGGTTTCACAACATGGTTGATCTAAGTAGCTGGAGAAAAGGAAATGGGTATTAGAAAAGGGTTTTAGATTTCATTCTTGGTGTTCAATTTAAAATCCTTTTCTAGCATTTCAACATTTCATTTAAAAGGTTCCAACACTAATATGCAACTAGACTCTCTTATTTCACAGTGTAACATGGTTACGTATTTGTTAGAACAATCACTGTAGAGAACTAGGGAAAATTCAGTGATTTTTGAGAAATACACAAATCTCAAAACCTAAACAACTTACTCATCAGTTCTATAGAGTGCAAGAGCATGACCTGTAAAATCGATAACATCTTGGCCCAAATCAAATTTCTTATACACATCTCGCATTGCAGTCTTCTTGGGATCAACACCTTCAAAAGTTCTAGCATCGTTTTCATCAAAGTTGGCAACATACACCAGGAATTTTCTGAAGCGACGTTTTTCAAATAGTCCCATTAAGCCTAAAAAACACACACTCAAAAATAGGACACTGAGGAAAAGAAAGCACGAGAACAAAGTTGAGACATGCCATGTCGTTAACTGAGGCACCACTGATGCAGGGTGCAATTTCAGATACAGGAGTTTTGGACAATGGGGCTTCCAGTTTCACGACACTTTAAAATAAACCAACACAATTACAGGTCAGCTATAAAATCTTCAATTTCACCATATAACTACAAGTAATTATAACCAGTATTTAAGTAAATGTGATAAGTCGAATTATATCACTTAAAGTATTACTCTGAAAAAATACTACATATGAAAGATTGAATTTGAATCTTCTTCCTCTAACAACTCTGATTTACCCTCAGACAACTGCCTAAAACTGTAAATACTCCTCCTTTTCCTCTTTTGGATGCTAAGATACACTCTGTCAGTCAGTGGAAAAGAAGCTTAGGGTACCAAAAACAGGCCAGCATAGCGGGCAACGGTGCCAGTTCAAGTCCTGGCTGCTCCACTTCTGCTGCAGCTCTCTGCTAATGCACCTAGAAAAGCAGTGAAGAATGACTCAAATACATGGGTCCCTGTACCTGAAAGAAGCTCCTGGCTTCAGATCGGCCCAGCTCTGGCAGTTGCAGCCATTTATGGAGTGAACCAGTGAATAGAATAGAAGATTTCCCTCTCTTTTTCTCCATAACTCTGCCTTTCAAATAAATAAATAAATCTTAAAAAAAAAAAAAAGATATGAAGAACAAACTGACCTCAAAGAAGAAGTTTACATGTTGGTTATCTTGTTAATTACTCACTTAAGTGTAGTTGCAGGTAACACATTCACTGTTGTTTTCACTAAAAACAGATGAAGAGACCACTGCAAACTACCACTTACAGTCAGCTCTCCCTACTAGACAACACTTCCACTAGTAGTAGTATTCAGATGGCAGAAAGAAAATTGGCCAATGAAAAAGAAAAATTTCTGATATGACCTCCCTTCTGTTTTCTAATCTGTATAGTGACTTTAAAGATGTTAAAGAGTAGTTACCACTTTGAAAATAATGAACTCTCTATTGACAGTTTAGTATTTTGATAGCTCTAGTATTTTGCATCCAGGACTATTTTACAGTTCAAACCATTAAAAATGAAAATTGAAATTATGAAGCTATTAACAATAACTAACTACATTTAACTTCCATGTTTAACTTTTTAAAATTAGGATTTGCAACCAAGCTTTTTACATGGACAGAATGCACAAACAATAAAGGAATAACTACCATACTTCAAGACACAATTAGCTGTCAGTGACAGGAATAATATTTTATTATCCTATTATTATGAAGACATTTTGTTTGGATTGAATTTTTTTTTTTTTTTTGGACAGGCAGAGTGGACAGTGAGAGACAGAGAGAAAGGTCTTCCTTTGCCGTTGGTTCACCCTCCAATGGCCGCCACGGCCGGTGCATCGCGCTGATCCGAAACCAGGAGCCAGGTACTTATCCTGGTCTCCCATGGGGTGCAAGGCCCAAGCACTTGGGCCATCCTCCACTGCACTTCCTGGCCACAGCAAAGAGCTGGCCTGGAAGAGGGGCAACCGGGACAGAATCCGGTGCCCTGACCGGTACTAGAACCTGGTGTGCCGGCGCCGCTAGGTGGAGGATTAGCCTTTTGAGCTGCGGCGCTGGCCAAAAAAGTGATATCTTTATAATGATTATTATAAAAAGAGCACTTCAGGCACTAGACAGACTTAGATCTATCAGTAACTAGCTACAAAGTCTAAAGATGGTCTTAAACTCTCTAGAAACTTCAAAGGGAGGGAAGTTTCCAAACTTTTTCACTGATATATTCCCAACTTCCTAGAACACTGTCCAGCACATGACAGACATTCAATAAACATTTTTTAATAAATGATCTCTGAGATTCCTTTCCATTATAAATTTTCACTATTCTAAGAAAATAAAATGAAATTACTTACTAGATGCAAGGGCTTCTGCTTCAGTGGAAGGAACCTTGTAGATTTTTCCTCCTTTATAGACAAAGCTTCCTTCTGTCACTTTGAAATCCAGATAACGAGTGACTTCTGTATAAAGCAGCATCTTAACCAGCTGACCTAGAAAAATCACATAATTCAAATTATAACTTAAACCTTACTATTACAAAAATTCAGAAGAAACAAGAGTACATTTAATACTAATACCTTCTCAATTTCCCCTTAACTTTATTCAGTAACTCCTACAAAAAAATTCTCTAAAGCCATTATTTCAAATGGGACAAGGCAAACTATTGCACAGCACATTTAGACAACTTCCTGGTTAATAACTCTTACAGCATGCTTTTGCAAAAGCTAGGAAGTGCTAACTAGAGTATGAGGTTTAGAATTATAGTGTAACTGCAAACAGGTTTGGGTTTCTCTCCAGTTTCTGCGATATTTTAAATACAGGCAACCTGCAAAATGTTTCAGGAATATATTCAGCTCTGGGTCAATCAAGTTCAGCTAAAGACAAGATGTGTTTGTGACCAGAAATATCTACCTATAAGCAGGTGTACCTATAATCTGGTATACCAAATATGGTTCAGAAACAAAAAAAAAAATATTTTAAAGCCAATTTGAATGGATAAAAACACTACAAAGGTCAAACACTAACAAAATAATTTTTTGCATGTGTGATCATGGCACAGTGGGTTAAACTGTTCCTTGGATGCCCACATCATATACCAAGGTAAATTTGAGTGCCAGGTACTCCATTTCTAATCCAGCTTCCTTCCAACATATCCTGAGAGGGAGCAAATGGTGGCTTAAGTATTAAGGCCTCTGCACCCACTGGGGAGACCCAGATATAGTTCCAGGCTCCTGGCTTCAGCTTGGCTCAGCTTTGGTTGTTGGAGCATTTGGGGAATGAGTCAGTTAATAGAGCTCTCTTTCTCTCTACCTCTGTTATTCTGCCTATCGAGCAAAGAAAAATAAATAACATAAAAAATTTTTTTTTAGAACAAGAAATAAAGTAAAGAGCAGCCAGAAGTTGAAGTATACTCGAGGGGCCGGTGTTGTGGCATAGCGGGTAAAGCTGCTGTCTGTGACGCTGGCATCCCATATGGGTGTTGGTTCAAATCCTGGCTGCTCTACTTCTGATCCAGCTCCCTGCAATGTTCCTGGGAAAGTAACAGAAGATGGCCTGGGAGAAACTCTGGGCTCCTAGCACTGGTCTCGCACAGCCAAGGGCCATTGCAGCCATTTGGGGATTGAGCCAGTGGATGGAAGCTCTGCCTCTCTAACTTTGCCTTTCAAATAAATAAAATAAATGTTAATGAATAAATAAATACATAAATAAAGTATATTCTGTGACTATATTGATTGGTTCACAAATGAAGGAAAATAGGACCTTATATACTCAGGTATAAGGATTTAATATATGATAAAAGTTAAATAAAAATGAAAGCTAAGTGGCATTCAGAGACTAACAACTAGCAATTTTTAAAAACTAAATTTCAATTTCTTATTTTTCAACTTCAAGATAATGAAGTAGATAAATTTAATAAAACAGAAAACTAATGTTAATGTGAAATAGCTAAATGTACATGCTGAAAAAGTGAAACTGTCAACCATTAAAAAAGCCAAGTGTTAGTATTCTTAACCTTAATAGAAATTTTCTAAGCATGATCGCCCCAAATCATAAATAATAAAAGGAAAAAAAAAAGCAACCAATATGACATGAAAACTAAAACCTTATATACAAAAAGAAAATACAACAGAGTTAAAAGGCAAATCACAAGCTAGAGAAAGATATTTAGAAGTATTTTTATAGGAACAATACCCTTAATCTCCAAGGAGCTCTTTCACATTAGTAAAAACAAAACAGAAAAACCCCAACAGAATCAATGTCCAAAGCACAAGACTCATCAATATGAAGGCCAATATAAATCTAGAAATCATTTTATCCTCTAATAAATATTTAAAGTCCATATTTTGCAATTTCATACGACAAACTGATATGAATAATTATCCAGGGTTGATAAAGGAATTGGGAAAAAGACAGTGTCACTAATGAAAGTAAAATGTGGCGAGGCCAATTTTGCAGCACAGTGGTTTAAGCCATCACTTGAGGCAGGTATCCTCTACTGGGGTGCTGATTTGAGTCCTAGCTACTCCACTTCCAATCCAGCTTCCTGCTCTCCTGGGAAGGCAGTGAAAGATGGCCCAAGTACTTGGGCCCCTTGTCACCCATGTGGGAGAACGGCATGGAGCTCTTGGCTACTGGTTTTGGCCTGGCCCAGACTTGGCTGTTGTACCCATTTGGAGAGTGAACCAGGAGATGGAAGATCTCTATGTCTCTTGTCTCTCTGCCATTTTGCCTTTCAAATAAATAAGTCTTTTAAAAAACAAAGCAAAATGTGGCAATAATAAGGCAAAGTTTAAAAAAGATCATTGCCTTTATCCCCAAAATACAGAGCTAAAAGTATACAATGAGGTTTAGCACCAACACACACTCTCACTCCCTCAAATGCTCATAAGTAACAGAGTAAAAAACATAACTTGAGAGAAAAAAGAAATATGCACGTGACAGACAAAATATTAACATACTTATAAATGGTGAAATCTTAGTCAAATAAACCTAGATAATAAACAATTATATTTACAATGTACCTCAAAAAAATTCAGTGAATTCATTTTAAATTTCAGAGAAAATTCAAATAACGTCTCTTCTATTAAAACTATAGAATGGGCCGGTGCCGTGGCTCAATAGGCTAATCCTCTGCCTTGCGGCGCCGGCACACCAGGTTCTAGTCCCATTCGGGGCACCGGATTCTGTCCCGGTTACCCCTCTTCCAGGCCAGCTCTCTGCTGTGGCCAGGGAGTGCAGTGGAGGATGGCCCAAGTGCTTGGGCCCTGCACCCCATGGGAGACCAGGAGAAGTACCTGGCTCCTGTGTTCGGATCAGCGCGGTACGCCGGCCGCTGCGGCCATTGGAGGGTGAACCAACGACAAAGGAAGACCTTTCTCTCTGTCTCTCTCTCTCACTGTCCACTCTGCCTGTCAGAAAATAAAAAAAAAAAAAAAAAAAAAAAAAAAAACCTATAGAATGGAAGTTCAAAAAGCGGAAAGGGTAGTACATTCTTTATTTTATGGGACACAGACAGACTTACAACCATGATTTCCATTTTTCAATGTCATCTCAGAAAAAGGTATTAACACCACAGCAATTTCAAAACATACTTAGCTCCTTTAAACTATGAGAAAAGCTAGATGAAAAAATATTTTAAAAAACCCACAAACTCCTGGCTCCTGCCATCGGATCAGCGCAGTGCGCCAGCCGCGGCGGCCACTGGAGGGTGAACCAATGGCAAAAAGGAAGATCTTTCTCTCTGTCTCTCTCTCTCACTGTTCACTCTGCCTGTCAAAAAAACAAAAAAAAAAACAAAAAAAAAAACAAAAAAAAAAACAAAAAAAAACCCACGAACTAGAAAAACATTAAAATGACTCTTTCTGAAAGGTCAGTTACCAGTTTAATAAAAGGGGAGTTACGGTAGCCTCAGAAAAAAGAACCAGGAAAATATTGCAGAGAAAACTCTTCTGGAACGAGTGGCCGTGAATCGGAGGACCTACTGGGAGAACAAGGTCGCCCACCGCGTGGAAGCCGAGCCGCGGGACCGAGCCGCGGAAGCCGAGCTGTGGGACTGAGCCGCGGAAGCCGCGGAGTCTGCGCGCCAGTGCTCGAAGGGGAGTGCGTGCCACACAGACAACAGCGGGGAGACTTGGGACGTCCAGGGCTCCGAGTCCACACATCGGCGCTGGAAGGGGAACGGACCTGCGTGGAGAGCGTGGGAGCCCACAGTTCGGGACACCAGCGGAAGACTCAACACACCAGCGCTGGAACGCGAGGTGAGCCGAACCTCAATAGCCCGAGACACCGGCAGGCAAGCGGAGAGAGGAGACTAGAGGGAACGACCCCCGGGGGGGGGGGGGGCGAAAGTTCACCAGGCTAACTGGAAGAGAGACAGAGAGAAAAAAAAAAAAAAAAAGTGACTGGTACGGACACCGGTTTCTCTCTCTCCGCTCACCTCTCAAGGGCGAACAAGACAAAGAGCAGGCGCCATCTTGGACATACGTCATAAGCAGAGCGACCTCAGGTCTGCACCGGCCCTGAGCCTAGCAGAAAAACCTGACTCTGGGCGGGGCGAATTAACAGGAGATTAGGACCTAGTAAATTTGTGGTGCTACTGAACTGAGACTGTGAAAAAAGAGACGGTGGGGGAGAGAACTCACGGAATTCACGTGAGCACTCTCCAGAGACGCTACAATTCCGTAACTTTGGCAACCCAGTGGGAGACTGAAGGAGAATTTGAGCCCACTCTGAGGGCAGGACAGATTCCCTGTGTGGTCCTTGGGAAAGAGCTTCTGATCTCTGGCTCCTGTGGGTATATCATTTGCCTGCTAACTACCTCCAACTTCGTTCAGCTGTGCAGAATAACGTCCCTTTTGAATCAAAAAAAATAAAGAAAGAGAGAGAGGTTTACCATGCCTAACCTGGGAGTGTCACCTTTGGCACATCAAACAGAGCTCTCAGGCCACACCCATCTCAAGCCCTAAGGCTCCATCAAAAACAGATAGTCCACTTAAACTAGAGTCATAGTATAACAAGAAAAAGCACCACAGTGAAGAAACCAAATATCTCCAATATGCCAAATAACAAACGCAAAAACCGAGGTAATAAAAACAAGGAAGTCACCATGACGCCCTCAAATGAAAAAGACACCCCAATTCAAGATTATGAAGATGATGACATAGAAGAAATGCAAGAAGCAGATATCAAAAAATTGATAAGAACATTAAGAAGTTCACAAACAAATTCTTGAACTACAGAAATCCTTAATGGACAAGAGAGAAAATCTCTCTCGTGAAAATGAAATATTAAGGAGGAATCAAAATGAAACGAAACAACTAGTACAACAGGAAACTGGGATAGTGACTGAAGTGAAGAATTCAATAGATCAAATGAAAAACACAATAGAGAGCCTTACAAACAGAATGGGTGAAGCAGAAGAGAGAATATCGGACTTAGAAGACAGAGAACAGGAAAGGATACAGTCAGACCAAAGAAAAGAAGAGGAAATTAGAAATCTAAAACATATTGTCGGGAATCTTCAGGATACTATTAAAAAACCCAACATTCGGGTTCTAGGAGTTCCTGAAGGCATGGAGAGGGAGAAAGGATTAGAAGGCCTTTTTAGTGAGATATTAGCAGAAAATTTCCCAGGTTTGGAGAAGGACAGAGAAATCCTAGTACAGGAAGCTCACAGAACCCCTAATAAACACAACCAAAAGAGATCCTCACCACGACATGTTGTAATTAAACTCTCCACAGTGAAACATAAAGAAAAGATCCAAACAAAAAAGCGGTCTGCAGCCTAATGTTTATTGCAGCTCAATTCACAATAGCTAAGACCTGGAACCAACCTAAATGCCCATCAAGGGTAGACTGGATAAAGAAATTATGGGATATGTACTCTTTAGAATACTATACTGCAGTAAGAAACAACGAAATCCAGTCATTTGCAACAAAATGGAGGAATCTGGAACACATCATGCTGAGTGAAATAAGCCAGTCCCAAAGGGACAAATACCATATGTTCTCCCTGATCGGTGACAACTGACTGAACACCAAAAAGGAAACCTCCTGAAGTGAAATGGACACTATGGGAAATGGTGACTGGATCAGCATAGCCCTGACTGTTAATGAACAACTTAATACATTATCCCTCTTAGTAGTTTTTTTGTCTGTTCTACTTAATATGACTGGTTTAATTCTGTAATTAATACACAGTTATTCTTAAGTGTTGAAAATTAACTGAAATGTGATCCCTGTTAAACATAAGAGTGGGAATAAGAGAGGGAAGAGATGTGTAATTTGGGACATGCTCAAGCTGACTTACCCCAAATGGTAGAGTTAGAAACATACCAGGGGATTCCAATTCAATCCCATCAAGATGGCATGTACCAATGCCATCTCACTAGTCCAAGTGATCAATTTCAGTTCACAATTGATCATAATGAAAGGACTAAGAGTCAAAGGGAGCACATAAACAAGTCTAGTACCTGCTAACACTAACTGATAGAATAAATAAAGGGGAGAGTGATCCAACATGGGAAGTGAGATACTCAGCAGACTCATAGAATGGCAGATGTCCTAAATAGCACTCTGGCCTCAGAATCAGCCCTAAAGGCATTCCGATCTGGCTGAAAAGCCCATGAGAGTATTTCAGGCATGGAAAGCCAAGACACTCTGGGAAAAGATCTCTGTGAGTGAGATCCCAGTGGAAAGAACAGGTCTTCAAAGAAGGAGGTACCTTTCTCTGAAGGGAGGAGAGAACCTCCACTTTGACTATGACCTTGTCTAAACAAGATAAGAATCGGAGAACTCAGATGGCTTCCATAGCCTTGGAAACTCATGACTGGAGCATAGCGAGATTACTGACGCCATAGACAGGAGTGTCAATTGGTAAAGTCAACAACAGGAGTCACTGTGCACTTACTCCTCATGTAGGATCTCTGTCCTTAATGTGCTGTGCATTGAGATTTAATGCTATAACGAGTACTCAAACAATATATTTCACTTTGTGTTTCTATGGAGGTGCAAACTGTTGAAATCTTTACTTAATGTACACTAAACTGATCTTCTGTAAAAAAAAAAAAAAGAAAGAAAGAAATTATCAACTCCCAACTTGACTCTCACTGGGATTAAACATAACAATAGGTCTGATCTGATTTCATCATCATTTAAAAAAAATCATCTATTATTTTTCACTTTATGTTTCTGTGTGGGAACAAACTGTTGAAATCCTTACTTAATGTATACTAAGCTGATCTTCTGTATATTAAGATAATCGAAAATGAATCTTGATGTGAATGGAAGGGGAGAGGGAGTGGGAAAGGGGAGGGTTGTGGGTGGGAGGGACGGTATGTGGGGGAAGCCATTGTAATCCATAAATCGAACTTTGGAAATTTATATTCATTAAATAAAGGTTAAAAAAAAAAAAAGTCAGTTACCTAAATCATCACTCAAGAAATTAAGAAGGAAGTCTGATACAAGTGTTTATAACGTAGGATACACCATCATAATTGGATAAATGTTTTTAATTATGCCAAATATAATTTTTTAAAACTTTACATTTTCAAAATGTTTACAATTTTCAGATGTGTTGTGCTACATTATAATTTTCTTTCTCCAGAAATAATTACTAGTAAGTCACACTCTCTCCCTTTCATTCTTAACAACTCCAGCCACCCTATCTAATGGATCATATTGCTAAGCATAACCATCACACTGAGAATAATATTCTCTGCGAAGAGTTAGTATCTACTTACAAATTAGATTCAATGTATTGTCACAAGTTCAAGTTAGAGTTCTTTACCATTAGCCATAAGGAACTTGGGAATTAAGTCAACATTCCAGTCTCTTCCTCTCCCCATTGATGATGGTGGTGATCCTGGTATTTTAAATCTTTTGTATAACTAGGAGCAAAACAAAAAGGACTCATGATGTATAAAAATTCAATTTTTATTATAACATACAAAGGGACTTCAAAAAGTTATTGGAAATGATAATGATAATATATAGAGTGGTATAGTGGATTAAGCTGTGCTTGGGACACCTGCAACCCCTGGCACCTCTGCTTCTGAACCAGCTTCCTGGTAATGCATTCTGGTAGGATGCAGATGATGGATGGCTCAAGTGCTTGGTATCCTGCCACCCAAGTGAGAGACCCACATGGAATTCCTGGCTCCCAGCTTTGGCCTGGCAAATTCCTGGTTGGTTTATGGAGTGAATCAGGATGAAAGATATCTCTTTCTCCCCATGTATGTGTGTGTGTGTGTGTCTGTCTGTCTGTCTCTGCCTTTCAAGTAGTTGAAAATAAATATATAAACATTAAAGAAATATTAAAGGAAAAAAGATATTATGAGAGTGGGCATTTGCCCTGGGGTTAGGATGCCCATATACCATATTTGAGTGCCTGGGTTTGGTGCTTACTTTTGGCTCCTAACCCCAGGTTCCTGCTGGTATGGACCTGGAAGGCAGCTGTAATGGCTCAAGTGGTTGGGTTATTGTCACCAAGTAGGAGACCTGGAATGAATTCCTGGTTCTTAGGTTTGGCCAGAGGCCCAGACCAGGTTATAAAGACAGTTAGGGAGGAGGTCAACTGTGGGCCAGCTTATGGGAGCAATTGGATGTTCTTCCTCACTCTTTCTACCTCTCAAATAAACTAAAATTTTCCTGAAAAGATAATGTATTTTTGAAGCTTCTTCATACACCTACTTATTGATTAAGTAGTTTTGATAAAATAACCATTAGGTAACCTTGGTTTAAAAGTCTATTAAATCACTAAAAGGACATTCTTGATATCATTAGATAATAGTTAATTTCCATAAATATGTCCTTATGATTTGCTGGAAAATGTATTCTTGGCAGATGAATGTGAATATGCAGGTCAAGTAGCATGACGTCTGTTATTACTTTCAACAATTGAAAACCAGTAACAAAGACACATGAAGCAAATATAGCAAAACATTAACTGTTAAATTCAGATGGAAGGTGTTTTTTTTAGACAGAAGGTTTTTGATACACTAGTATTATTCTTATAACTTTTTTGTATTCTTGGACATAGGAAAAATGCTTTTTATAGATACTAACTCTAATAAGCCACTAATTATATAAAAAGTCATTGTTGAAATCTGTATCTCCCAAAAAGCACATTACGGTTTATGTCTATACATGTGAATGTCAAACAAGCCTCACACAGAGAAATACACATATACTTAGTAAGACACAGTTTAGAAATGCTTCATGTGCTCATATCCTAAACAAGTAGGAAAAGGGCAATGTAGCAAAATGAACTAAGCTTTAAATTTATGACACAGATTCACAACCCATGTCTGCAATTTTAACCTTGAAGGCACTACTTTGTAAACTGTAAACTGAGGGAGAAAAATGTGTCTTTGAGTAACTGAGACAATAAATAAGACCATGTGGAAGGCATTGGCACTGTGCCTGAGACATCAGACACCTCTTCTGACTCTTTCCAGTCTATGCTCTATTAACTGAGAGATAACAGATACCAGATAGCAACAACAATTTTACAGTTTTAATTTGTATAAACCCCAAACTAGAAACTTCTAGACAATTATGGTGCTCCAGATGTTCTATTTAGTAATATGAAATCCATCTTTGAGTAAAATGGTGATTCTCAAGTAAAACAACATCTAAAAGGTGTATTCATTCTAATACTTACATCTTCCAGAGGTGTTATAGATGCACTTTCTCCTCCATAGTATGGGTTTTGATCCATGTGAAGAACTTTCTTTCCATTCACTGACATGATACCCGACAAGATACATTCCTACAGGAAATGCGTAAGCATTTTCAAAATGAAGTTCTACAGCATGTTTAAACTGATTCCTTTTTAAAAAATTATCATTAAACAGTCTCTTAAAACTATACATATAAAATACATGAAACTTGTTCCCTTTGTAAAATTAAAAAAAGAGAAAAAAGAAATTAACATTTATGTTCATACAACATGACAAAATTTATAAAAGAAACCTAAAAGTAACCAGGCTGTGGTCATGAATCCATCCTGTGATTCCCGAGGTTAAAACTATTATTTTTTTTAAAAGATTTATTTGTTTGTTTGAAAGGCAGAGGCAGAAGCATAGAGAAAGAGAGGTCTTCCATCCATTGGTTCACTCCTCAAATGGCTACAATGGCTGGAGCTGTGCTAATCAGAAGCCAAGAGCCAGGAGCTTCTTTTGGGTCTCCCATATGTGGGTGCAGGGGCCCAAGGATGTGAGTCATTCTCTACTGCTTTCCCAAAGACATTAGCAGGGAGCCAGATCGGAAGTGGAGCAGCCAGGACTCAAACCAGCACCCACCAGTGGCGGTTTTACCCGCTATGCCACATGTCAGTACCTAAAACTATTTTTTTTATTACTTATCTTTATATTTAAAAGGTAGAGTAGCATGGAGAAAAGACATACACATAGAGAGATTATCTCCCATCTGCTGGTTTACTCCCCAAATTGTCATAACAACCAGAGCTGGGTCAGGCAGAAGCCAGGAGTCAAGAACTCCATCCAGGTCTCCACAAGGGTGGTAGGGTCCCAAGTACTTGGGCCATTATTCACTGCAGGTCCAGGTACATTAGCAGGGAGCTGTATTGGAAGCAGAGCAGACAAGACTGGAACCAGTACTCCAATAAGAGATGCAGTATTAAAAGTGGCAGTTTAACCTGCTGTATCACAATACCAGTCCCTAAAACAATTTTCACAATAACATTAAGACATTTTTATTGTGTTGACATTTGCACTGATGTAAAATCAGTGGTGGATCAAATTAAGATAAGGACTCTAAACTCCACTAGTAGTCATTACACTGATCAAAGCACTCACTTGAGTGCCTCTGATGAGGCATAAAAAATTAATATATTTTTAATAATCTGGGGAGTATAGACAGCACTTCTGACTCAAGGAAATTACTTTATAAAAATTTATTTATTTATTTGAAAGGAAGTGTTACAGAAAAAGAGTGAAAGAAGGAAATTTTCAAATGGCTGACAAACTATGATTATTCAGACTTAAATATGTGGCAGATATTTTCTTTTTTTTTTCTTTTCTTTTCTTTTTTTTTTTTTTTCTCTATTTCGACAGGCAGAGTGGACAGTGAGAGAGAGAGACAGAGAGAAAGGTCTTCCTTTGCCGTTGGTTCACCCTCCAATGGCCGTAGCGGCCGGCGCGCTGCGGCCGGCACACCGCGCTGATCCGATGGCAGGAGCCAGGAGCCAGGAGCCAGGTGCTTTTTCCTGGTCTCCCATGGGGTGCAGGGCCCAAGCACTTGGGCCATCCTCCACTGCACTCCCTGGCCACAGCAGAGAGCTGGCCTGGAAGAGGGGTAACTGGGACAGAATCCGGCACCCCGACCGGGACTAGAACCCGGTGTGCCGGCGCCGCTAGGCGGGGGATTAGCCTAGTGAGCCGTGGCGCCGGCCTGTGGCAGATATTTTCTCAAAAATAAATGTAAAAAAAAATTTGAGATTATCTGCTGCCAATAGAAGAAAGTCAAATTTTTGAATGAAAATCAGAATTCTGAGAAGGGAGAAGAATCTACCATTGTCAGCAAGGGCTTTTTAGACAATATTAGTGACAATATAAACAAATATGATTTTTGACACTATAAAACAAAATGAATGTCAACATTCAGAAAATCTCTATTACCCAGAGTAAACCAGTATTTCCCAAATGACAAATAAATGATGTAATTAAAAGTGCAAGTTAGATCAATGTATCAGAATAGATTCTCAATGTTGTTTCAGATTTGATTTTGGAATTAATCATTTTTAAAAGACTTATTTATTTGAAATGAAGAGCAAGGGAGGGGGGTGGGAGAATTTTCCATCCACTGGTTCACCCTGCAAATGGTCATAACAGCCTAGCTGGGCTATGCTGAACCCAGGAGCCAGGAACTCCATCCAGGGGTTATTTGGGTCATCATCCTCTGCCTTGCCAGGCATATTAGCAGGAAGCTGGACTAAAAGAAGAATAGCAGGGACCCCAATGAGCCCTCCAATATGTTATTCCAGATGTCACCAATTAACCTACTGTGCTACAACACCAGCCTATAACTCATCTTTTAAAAAACCCCTAGAGCCAACGTTGTGGCACAGTGTGTGCTAACATCTGATATAGAGTGCCAGGTAATCCTGGCTGCTCTGCTTCCAATCCAGCTTTCTGCTAATGTACCTGGGAAGGCAACAGAAGATGACTCTAGTACTTGGGCCCCTTGCCACCCATATGGGAAACCCAGGTGGAATTTCTGGCTCCTGAATTGGTGTGGGCCAGCCTTCTGCAGGCCATTTGTGTAGTGAACCAAAGATCTCTTTTGGAAGAGCACTCTCACTCACGCTCTCTCTCTCTCGTCTTCTCTCTGTTGCCCTTTCAGATAAATAAATCTTTAAAAAACAAACAAAAAAAAAACCCCTACCCCTTGTGTTTTTGTGATCTACAGACTGAACACAAAAGCAGGTATGCAAATCCAGCTTTTATTAAGCCAGACATTAAATGTGAGACAATCATACTTTTCTCAAACTTTTTTTGAGGGGTCAGCGCTGTGGCTTGTTAGGTTAAGCCTTTGCTTGCAGCCCAGCATCCTAAATGGGCGCCAGTTGGTGTCCCAGCTGCTCTTCTTCCAATCCAGCTTTCTGCTAATGGCCTGGAAAAGCAGTGGAAGACGACCCAAGTGCTTGGACCCTTGCACCAACATGGGAGACCAAAAAGAAGCTCCTGGCTTCGGATCAGCCCAGCTCTAGCTCTTGTGACCATTTGGGAAGTGAACCAACAGATGGAACAGATCTCTGTCTCTCCCTCTCTGTCTGTAACTCTCCTCTCAAATATATAAACCTTTAAAAAAATTGATACACAAAACAGTAATATTTAATGAAATTGTCACACATTAATATGTAATGGATTATTTTTTAACTTAACTAATACTTTTTAATTTATCTGTTGATTTAGAATATCATTATTATCAACATATATAACCCATATAAACAAAACTACTTCAGGAGAGCAAATGCTGTAATACAAAGGGTTAAGCTTCTGCTTAAAACACCAGCATCTCATATCAGAAGGCTGGTTCTAGTCCTGGCTGCTCTGCTTCTGATCAAGCTTCCTGTTAATATGCCAGGAAAGACAGCAGAAGATGGCCCAAGTGCTTGGGTTCTGCCACTCATCTGGGAAACCTGGATGTTGTTCCCAACTCCTGGCATCAGCCTGGCCCAGACCTTGCTTTTGTGGCCGTTTGAAGAGTGAACCAACAGATGGATGATCTTTCTCTCTTTATCACTCTTTCAAATTAACAATTTTTTTTTTAAATCCCAAGGTTCCTCATTTTTAAGTGAGAACAGACATTTGAGATTTAGAGCTATAGAAGAAGCATTCAAGATAACCATTAAAAACTGACAATCAAGGATGCCTTTGTGGCATAGCTGGTAAAGCTGCTCCCTGCGATGACTGAATCCCACTGGGTGCCAGTTTGTATACCAGCTGCTCTGCTTCTGATCCAGCTCCCTGCATATGCCCTGGGAAAAGCAGCAGATGGCCCAAGTGTCTGGCCCCCTACCACCCATGTCAGAGACCCTGATGAGGCTCCTGGCTCCTGGCTTCAGCCTTGCCAGCTCTGGCTGTTACAGCCATCCAGGGAGTGAACCAGCAGATGAAGATCTCTCTGTCTCCCTCTCTTTAACTCTTTCAAATAACTATGATTATACTAAGACACACCAAACCGAGACAGGGGGGCAAATCAGAACCATTATATCAGGATTTTAGCAACCAGCACTTTATCTTGGTAAAAGACAATGAGGGGTGGTGCTGTGGCATAGTGAATAAAGCTGCCCTTGCAGTGCCAGCATCCCATAATGGGCACCAGTTCGTGTCTCAGCTCTTCCACTTCCGTTCCCGCTCTCTGCTATGGCCTAGGAAAGTAGTGGAAGTTGGCCCAAGTCCTTGGGTCCCTGCCTTGGGCCTCTGCACCAGCATGGAAGACCTGGAAGAAACTCTTGGCTCCTGGCTTCAGACTGGTGCAGCTCCGGACGTTGCGGCCATCTAGGGAGTGAACCATCGGATGGAAGACCTCTCTGTCTCTGCTCTTTGTAACTCTGCCTTTCAAATAAATACATAAATCTTAAAAAAAAAAAAAGACAAAGGAAATTTCACTTAAATTTATAAAGTTTAGTACTCCTCAAATTTACCCAAAGGACCTTATGTAACAGGACAACTTCACTCTATCTAATTTGATATCTTTCTTTTTAAAATCCATACAAATTCCAAGTTTTCCTCCATAATTTGTCTACTTATTTAGTAGTTTTTAAATGATGACAATTAGCATCCGGTTCACATTTTACTACAGGGGTGTGAACCATTTTTTATTTGGCTCAAGAGATACATTATGTTCCAGAATCAGGAATATGCACCATTTTAAAATTTGGCTCAAAAAATGAAACACTGTATTCCAGAAGGTTCCTCATGCTCTATTCCAGTCACCACCACCATCCCCCCAGAACTCTCCTGGTTTCTAAAGCAGATTTGTTCTCTCTCTTCTTGAATTTCATGAATGGAATCACATAGTCGTTATATCTTTTTAATCTAGCATCCTGTATTCAATGTTACATTTAAAACATGAGTGAATGTTTTAAATGTTCTAATGTATTTATTCTCACTGCTGTAGAGTAGGGGTCCACAAAATCCAGTCTGCAGTCTTTGCTTGTAAATAAAGTTTTATTGGGAAACACTATTCCTGTTCATATGCATATGGTCTATGGCTGTTTTCACAGTAGCACAGCAGAGTTGT